GGTAGCTTGTCAACATCGGCCCCGTTACCCGTCATGTTCGTCCCTGGCCCTCCTCCTCCTCCTCCTCCTCCTCCTCCTCCTCCTCCCGTTCCTGCTAGTACCCCTCCTTCTCCAACCACCACTCTCCCTCCTTCTCTTGCGTTCTGGGAAATTACGGTCTTTTCGAATTCAGATGATTGATACTTTTCTGGTGGAGTATGTGTGAAGTTCCCATCTCGGCTTTGAAAACTTGAAGCATTCCTTGACTGGATAACTGGCTTGGAAATATCATGCTCAGGTGTTACTTTTTCTTGAGTGGTTGTGTTGATAGATGTCGATTGAGCCAATGGAGCTGCTCTGAACTTAGTTTCTGACAATTCGCTTGCGACTGAAATCTTTTCAAGGTCGTCATATCCTTGCATCGATTTTGATTTTGCATCAGACTGAGCGATACCGAATCGATTCTGCGAGACAATAGAAGTTGAATTGAATTGTTGAAAGACTGGTTCAACTTGGATTTCTCTGTTTCCAACGTGTGGAGATTCAATCTTTCTCTGCGATGAGCTTTCATCTGCCTGAATGCTGTGATTTCCTGTTGACTCAGGAGCTATTGGACCGGGATCGAGGTTTACAGGGTTAACATTCCTTTCCCTTACGTAGTCACGTGCTGCTGAGAGGCTGTCTGGTGCATCCTCGTCCTGATTGGAAGGTGTATCCCTCTGCCCAGCTTTATCCTGTCCCACTGCCTGAGCAAGTTGAGTCTGCACCGTGTGAACGTAGAGTTTCCGGTGGATCTCTTCTACTTTCCGCATGGACGCCATCTTGGATTCTGCTTCACGTCGACGAGCCTCTTTCATCATGTCGATCTCAACTTTCCTTCTCTCCGAATCAAGCAAACTTCCCTCTACAAGGTTTGGCTTTCGATCGGTTGTCGTTTGTATTCCTCCATCATCACCATTCCAAGTTCCTCTTATTGCTCGTGCCACCTAGGATGAAAAATTTAGCTCCGAGGAAGGCAGCAGCACAACGATCCTGCAACATGATAAGCTCACCTCTTCATGCTTTTTAGCCTCGTTTTCTATCGCTTTGATCCTAGACTCTTGCTCTTTCAGTTTCATTTGCCACTCTTGAGAGACGTCCTGATTGAATCATTACAACTCAAGGGTAATACAGGATTGTGCATCTTACTTCTTTTTCCTGTCGCGGGGGGTGCTGTTGTTTTGACTTCCATTCAACATTCTACGGACGTTTGTCAACGTAAATAAATTCTAGTACCAGTCTGGACTTTACCATCTGTGATGCTTCTTCTTTGAGCTTCCGAATTTCAGACAATGCCTCCTCCTCCTCAGTTTCAAGGAAAATCGACTCAGCGATTTCAAGATGTCCGATTGCTGCTTCGAACTTGTTTTCCTGGAATGAATTTAGCACCAAAGGAAACAACAAATCAATTAAAGCGTGGGATTTATACCTTCATGCACTTCATTGCTTGATTTACGCTCAACCTCGCTTTCTGAGTGTTCTGCTCTTTCGATCTATTCTGCATTTGAGCCTGGAAGCTTGCTTGTTGTCGTTTCGTGCTTGCTTCAACAGCTCTACTATGATCATTGCAAGACTTGAACAGATTTTCAGCCTTTGTAGCTCTTAGCCGCATCTCATCAAACGAAGGAGAAATTACCTCTTGGAACAAATCAATCGCTTTGTCACACTGGTTGCCTGTCATGAAAGCATTTCCCCGATCCATCAGTTCTTTTGCTCTCTCCATCTTCGCTCCCATCTCTGTACTTGGTTTTGAAGCTTTGCCAACAGCGATCTCTTCCAAGAGATCTACATGCATCCTCGGTTTAACAACTGCAACCATCGTAATCAAGGAACCAAAGCGTCAATCGTAAACAACGAACCTGACTTGTCCTCCTTCTTTGCTTCTTCTTTCTTAGTGTTTGATTTTTGATTTGACTTCCCAAACCTGACGATGGGTGACGGATCCTCTTGAGGCCTTGGGTTCTTCGCTTGCATTTTCTCTTCTTTCCCTGTCGCTATAGCATCTTTCACCGCCTGAGCTATAGTAACCCCCTTGCCCCAATTCCGGTAGGAACCCGGAGGCAGTTTCTTCGCACTGCTGATGATCACGTCGATGTCCGTATTAGAGACTCCCATGCTCTTCCAGTCTTCCCTTGAAAGATCTCTCAGGATGTCCAGGTCAATCTCGTTTTCATGCATGATGGGGATGTAGCGGGACAGACCATTCATATGGCAGAAATCGTCAATGGAAGACGGCACCGACATCGTGCAGAGGAGAATCAAGAAAGAACGATGCGCCTGCTGATCTCACTATCTGCTTTTGCTATCACCAAACACGAACGTGGCTGATGGAAGTTTCCGTCAAGACATCAGTCTCCCAAGGATAACATGCTGGGCCGAGCCTTTCACACGGCAGGGAGGTCTCTCTGGCCAACAGCGAAGTCCGAGCTCCTGTCTTATTCTTCAGCTGGTCCAAGAGATCCTTCCCTTCATCTCTCTCCCCGTCCAACTCCTTCCCTTCATCTCTCTCTCCCTCCACCACCATCTTGCAATCTTCGGCTCTCCCAATGAGGCGCCATCACAGCAACTACCCTTGGGAGGTAGGGTGTAATCGGGAGAGTCACCTACCCCATAATTCATCATTTTTTTATGCTGCTCAGTACCCCTGTCAAAGTACCCACCCTCATCTGACACCCCAAATTCGATCCATCCCTTCTGAAATCTGGCTGTAGCTTTGTTGGCCGTTCTGGTTGTTAGCGTCATCAGTGACGGGAACTGCTAGCTCCTCCTCTTCAGAGCTCCTCCCCTCCTCCCTCTCCTCCTCTGCTCCTCCTCCTCTGCTCCTCCTCCTCTGCTCCTCCTCCTCTGCTCCTCCTCCTCGTAGAGTTCCTCCACTCCCCTTCCTTCTCTTCGAACCCCTCTCTTCGTACCTTCCCTTCATGTCACTTTATTCGAATAAACAACTTCCAGGGCAAGCCTCCGAGCATACTTACGATAGCATTCCAAATTCACTGACTACAATCGCGTCATGAACGGGGGGCGGCTACTGCCGTCGCCTTGTACTTTGCATTCGAACCTTGCTCAAGCACTGAGAGGCAGCACGATCGACCGAGATGATTCACATCAGTACAACTTGCTGACGTACATCTGCCGAGACCTGTATTTCACGTCATTGACGTTTGCAGGACAAGGATGTAGAAGAGGGGATCCCCTACATTTCCCAGCTTCCCCCAGTGACCAGCAGGAGCTTCTTGGGACCTTCGGTTCGTTGGATTACCCTCTGAGCGTCTTCTAGAAGCTCTTGTACACCCAGGAAAGCGGATCGACTGGAGATTCGCTGTCATGCAGCACAGTCTTGAAGAGATTTTCTCACTTCTTGTCAGGTCGAGCAAAAGCGTTGGAGCTCGTTCTTGAAAGGGTTTTGTCCCTGTAGAGTTGCTGATCCGTGTCAGAAGCATGTCTTCTAGGGGGGTTCGATTTCATGCAAACCTGTTGAATCGCTCCTTTTCTCGGGTACTTGTTGAATATGTCACAAATCTTAGAATCGTTCCACCTTGAGAAGAAAAAACAAGAAGAGGTCAGAGAAAAAGTCAAAAGTTGCACAAAATTGCACACAAAAAAGATATGTTACCTTTGTTGAGAAGTAGCGTGGCGACTGCTGAACCGCAAACTTCGCAAGTACCGTTCTTCCTTGCTCAGATTGCTGCAGGCAGAATAAGCTTCCGAAACAAACCCTATGATGGGTGACAACCGCGAATCAGAATAAGAGACAGACGACTTCGTCCGCAGGATCTTCACTTCAGTCAGCTTGCACAATCATGCTGACGCAAACTTCGTTTACAAGTTTCTTGTCTCCTGCCTCGAAGATGCTGTCGACGCTGTTTTCCTTTGACAAGAGCTCTCCCCATGTTATTCCCGGAATGCGTGTGGATTCGCAAAGCTGAGGACCCTGGAATGATCAGGGGTGAGGGGATCGATATTTGGGTCCGACCCGAAACTTTCACCTTGAGGCTCTGCTTCAACCTCTGTTTCAAACGCTCGTCGGAGGATTCTCCTCTCCTTTGCCACGGGCTGCACAAAGTAAGAGCCTTAGACGGCTGCCGATGGGCTTCTAGGGGATAGCTACAAAACCATTTCTTACTTCCTCTCGTCGATTCGTTGCTTGATCCAACTGTTGTGCAATTCATTCTTTGATGTTTCTGCAAGCATTGATCAAATGCTTCGATTCTTTAGAGTGGAAATCTGTTGCCTCTCGTCAATTCATTGATCGGCATGACGAAAAATCGAAAAAAGTTGACTTCGAGACTTGTCGGGCGAAGCTGCTTGGGTAGGTCTTGAGGTCCTATCAAGAGGCTACCATACGTCAACCCCAACGATATCCGAAGCTTCTCCCTGCTCAAGCTCCATCGCCGCTCAACGTGTACGGCAACGAGACGCTGGCTGAGGGATGCGGCTGCTGCATGGACAAGGGTATAGAGGCCTCAACGGTTGGTAGGCCCATGTAACCTTTTTAATCGACAAGTAAGAATATTCATACTGATGCTTCATAAGTGCAGGTGACTCACATCAGCGAGTATCGCTGTCTCGAAATGATTGGGGGTAAAATGTTTTCATGTACGCAAATGTTTGTAATGAAATCAATTCACACAAATCATCGGTTACATGATGTCACAGATACGCAAAGAAGACATTCATTTTCTGTAACTTTCAAGAGCCGTGACTACAAGAGCCTTACAGGCGAAGTCTATTGCTCCAGAGCAGCCTTCCGAAGTTCCTCCCTCTGTGCCCAAGTTTCTCCCTGCCGTGACGCGTTGGTCCAGCGGGTTTTTAAGATGAGGAGAGAAATCGTTCTGAATCTACGGTGAAACAGTACAATCATCGGTTAGGTGCAAGTCTTCAGAGTATCAGGCTGGAATGGTGCACCCATTACAAGCAACTTCCTTTGGATTCCATTTGGACGAGTTTGAAGCTTATACTGCTCATGCTTCGCTTTCGTCTTCGCTGTCCTCATCTTCTTTCATAGCAAACAGTGCTTTCCTGACTTGAGCTCGTATCACGTGAATAACCTTTGCGATGATAGGCATCATGAGCATGAAAACCACCAGCCCTCCAGCAAACCGGATGAAGACGTCGGATATAAGAAAGGCGGCCATTGCTGATGTTCCCCTCAGGCTGTCTCACGCTATCAATGTCTCAGAGTCTGTGATCACAGCCTGGCAGTCTTTCAAGCACCCAGCGGCTGCGCGATGTTTGTTATCCCTCACTCTAGCTTGTCCTTCACCTGATGAGAACAGAGTATACGCCAAGTGGTCGACCGTTGAGAACGGAAAATGACTTAGCCGTGGAACGGAAAATGACATGGCGCAACGGTCTGGACGATCCCGGAAGCAATTCTGAGCCCTGAGTAATTGCAGGACGCATACTATCGGGTAACAATCCGGTTTCACCTGACTTTGTAGTTTTACCTCCTGACTTCACTCGGAAGGTCTAGAGGATAATCGATCAGCTGGGACACATTCATTTCGTCTTGCTCCCGGCTTCCCCAACGGTTTCGCAAATGCAATACCCGTATTTCCTTCGTCGATCCTTTCATTCAGTGTAGTTTGACCTTCCGACATCACGAGAATAGTTCCCAGACTATTTTGGGGATTCTGTGTTCGATGTATTGAGTAACCATTGCAAAGTTTATGCCTGTGTTAGCCCGAACAGCTGTTCATCGCATGCATCCGCCTGTGTTCGATCCATGCAAGCACAAATCTGTCAACTTGGCAAATCAGGATAAGCTGCTCAGCAAGTCTCAGGCGACATCCCCTCCTCTAGTGGTTGGCGTCCGCCCTGAAGGCCATAGAAACATCCCCTTGCCCTGATTCTAATTCCTCACATTGAACCTGCTAAGGTGATTCGACATGTCCGGGCCAGCCTTCACTGTCTCGGATCTCGCCGGGGCAGGAGGGCCGCCACGGTTGCACGGGGTCGCATGAGTAATTGTATGGGCCCGCATGAATAAATTGCATGTGCTAGCACAAGTAGCCTTGCGATATACTTGATACACTTGACGCAAGACTTGACAAGATCATGGTAGCTGGTTCTCCTGGAGGAGATTGCCGTGAGGTTGACTTGCAGCCCGACAAGCATGCATTCCTTTCTTCAGCGCAACATCTCTTGGTCAGATCTTGCCTCTCCCTTCAAGCGAGTGCTCAGCCCCCCCGTGACGAGAGGTCACAGCATTTCAATGCTCGCTACATCTGCCTGCTTACCCTCGGACCCCTTCTTCCATCCGTACTCCTCCATCGCCCCGCAATTCTTGATAGTGTCGATCTGAAAATCCTCCAGCCTTTCTGGCGGAACGATGAAAACTACTTTCACTTTCCAACCCTTGGTTGGGATGTTGAGCTTCTTGAGAGCTTTTGCGAAGGGAGAGAGCTTAAATGAGTGCGACGATGAAACTGTCACCTGCACAAGCTCGACCAACTTCGCACGCACATTCACAATGATAGCATCATAGCCTGGTTGAAACACGTTGATTGGCCTCAAGCATGCTCTCTCTTGAGGAAGACTCTCCATGACCTCGTTCGCATCGAAGGGTAACACTGGGCATCCCATCCAAACCTGATTCACACGTGACACGCCCTGCCGATACATCAGGGTCAGCCCTTGCTTCACCTTCTTGAAAAATAAAAGCTCGAAAACGTAGCCCCTTATGCTGGGAATGCTTGTCCCATCCAACAGTCTTTTCAAAACGCCCACCTCCGCTACTTCCGCTAGCTTCATGGCGACGTACTTGCTCACAGGCATCCAGGACGCTTCTTCGCCATGCATGTACCGTGCAGTCAAGTGATTTACAGCATCCAACGAGGAGTCACCAACGATACCCCGGAACAGATGTTCTAGGTTTCGACACGATGCAAGAGCCCGATCCAGCCTCTGCTTCACCACCGCTGCCGTCTTTTCGAACATGTACCGACATGAGCCGCCAGCCAGGTAATGCTTCGACATAATCTGCTCTTCTTTCGTTCCATTCCTCTTCCGTATCCTCATACCAATGTGCACCGCAGTGTCGTGCAATGCTAGCATGGCTTTCACCCTCTTGTAGAAAGCATCGCACTTCACCGCATTCAGGTACTCACCAGTTGTCCATGATACAACGGTGTGCGGCATCAGGTTCACATCATCTTCGAACCTGTCCCGAACCTTTCCTCCAGACATCGACGTCACAACGATAACCCGTCGATTCTGTCTGTCACCTAGGAGCCATCTCGTACATGCTCGATAGCAGCGTGCATGATGTGACTCGTGCCTCAAGTAGCCATCGATGACGACAAGACGCTTCTCGCTGTCCGGCCAATCTTCTAGTATTTTCCTGGTCCATTTCAGCGAGCATTCTGCTGGTATCGTGCACGATCTCCTCTTAGACCGTACGATCTGAATGCACTCAGTCCACTTAGTTGCATCGAGCTGAAAGAATGTCACGCTCCATTCCTTCATGCCAAGCGACAAGCAGAAGGCTAGCGTCGTCGTCGTCTTCCCAGTTCCCGGCGGACCTTGGATCCAGCCCAAGGCCCGGCTCTCTAACACCTGCTCCCTCAGGAAACGTTGCTGCTCGTGGAATGCTTTCCGGCAGTAAAGCAGTATCTCGCCGTCTCCTTGCAAGTATGATGCATCGAAACGAAAGTACTTGTTGCCATGGCAAAAGCCTGTCCGGTCCAGTCCTGCCTCTGACTCGACCCAGTCAATCCGTAGCCCATCGGATTTTCTGCTTTGCCTCTGGAGATCACACTTTTCTTTATCCAGCTGCTTCACCCTTTCTCTAAGCTGCCTCTCCGCTCTCCAAGCTGCTTCAACCGCTCTCCAAGCTGCTCTCCAAGCTGCTCTCCAAGCTGCTTCTCTCGCTCTCCAAGATGCGTCACCCGCTCTACAAGGACCGCCTTCATCGTTGAATCCTGTTCATGCTCGATCCTTTTCAGAACCTCCTTGATCTGTTGCTGTACTTCCTTGATCTCTGGCGGTGCCTCCTTGATCTCTTGCTGTGCCTCCTTGATCTCTTGTTTTACTTCCTTGATCTCTTGTTTTACTTCCTTGATCTCTCGCTGTACCTCCTCTATCTGAAGCTTCACCTGATCCTCTGATCCCCCTCCACCTCTCGTGTGCTTTACCAGACCATCAGACCAGCAAGAAGGATCACGAGCAATACCGGGCCAAGACGAGACCCACTTCGAGTTGCAAGACACGGAGGAGCAAGACCATGAGTGGGCAGGAACCAGCATCCCGACGATCATCGTCGGCAGCTCAAGCGCCAACAACAGCATCATCGTTGTAGCCTCCGCCATCCAGCACTCAACCCAGTCCGCCTCAGAGAGAATGAGGATTTCCAATCAAGCTTTGTTTACGGTTTGCCGTGTCTTTCGAGTTAGTCAATAAATTGTTTTGCAAACCATATAATTACGACTTGCAGCCCGACAAGCATGCATTCCTTTATTCAGCGCAACATCTCTTGGTCAGATCTTGCCTCTCCCTTCAAGCGAGTGCTCAGCCCCCCCGTGATGAGAGGTCACAGCATTTCAATGCTCGCTACATCTGCCTGCTTACCCTCGGACCCCTTCTTCCATCCGTACTCCTCCATCGCCCCGCAATTCTTGATAGTGTCGATCTGAAAATCCTCCAGCCTTTCTGGCGGAACGATGAAAACTACTTTCACTTTCCAACCCTTGGTTGGGATGTTGAGCTTCTTGAGAGCTTTTGCGAAGGGAGAGAGCTTAAATGAGTGCGACGATGAAACTGTCACCTGCACAAGCTCGACCAACTTCGCACGCACATTCACAATAATAGCATCATAGCCTGGTTGAAACACGTTGATTGGCCTCAAGCATGCTCTCTCTTGAGGAAGACTCTCCATGACTTCGTTCGCATCGAAAAGAAACACTGGGCATCCCATCCAAACCTGATTCACACGTGACACGCCCTGCCGATACGTCAGGGTCAGCCCTTGCTTCACCTTCTTGAAAAATAAAAGCTCGAAAACGTAGCCCCTTATGCTGGGAATGCCTGTCCCATCCAACAGTCTTTTCAAAACGCCCACCTCCGCTACTTCCGCTAGCTTCATGGCGACGTACTTGCTCACAGGCATCCAGGACGCTTCTTCGCCATGCATGTACCGTGCAGTCAAGTGATTTACAGCATCCAACGAGGAGTCACCAACGATACCCTGGAACAGATGTTCTAGGTTTCGACACGATGCAAGAGCCCGATCCAGCCTCTGCTTCACCACCGCTGCCGTCTTTTCGAACATGTACCGACATGAGCCGCCAGCCAGGTAATGCTTCGACATAATCTGCTCTTCTTTCGTTCCATTCCTCTTCCGTATCCTCATACCAATGTGCACCGCAGTGTCGTGCAATGCTAGCATGGCTTTCACCCTCTTGTAGAAAGCATCGCACTTCACCGCATTCAGGTACTCACCAGTTGTCCATGATACAACGGTGTGCGGCATCAGGTTCACATCATCTTCGAACCTGTCCCGAACCTTTCCTCCAGACATCGACGTCACAACGATAACCCGTCGATTCTGTCTGTCACCTAGGAGCCATCTCGTACATGCTCGATAGCAGCGTGCATGATGTGACTCGTGCCTCAAGTAGCCATCGATGACGACAAGACGCTTCTCGCTGTCCGGCCAATCTTCTAGTATTTTCCTGGTCCATTTCAGCGAGCATTCTGCTGGTATCGTGCACGATCTCCTCTTAGACCGTACGATCTGAATGCACTCAGTCCACTTAGTTGCATCGAGCTGAAAGAATGTCACGCTCCATTCCTTCATGCCAAGCGACAAGCAGAAGGCTAGCGTCGTCGTCGTCTTCCCAGTTCCCGGCGGACCTTGGATCCAGCCCAAGGCCCGGCTCTCTAACACCTGCTCCCTCAGGAAACGTTGCTGCTCGTGGAATGCTTTCCGGCAGTAAAGCAGTATCTCGCCGTCTCCTTGCAAGTATGATGCATCGAAACGAAAGTACTTGTTGCCATGGCAAAAGCCTGTCCGGTCCAGTCCTGCCTCTGACTCGACCCAGTCAATCCGTAGCCCATCGGATTTTCTGCTTTGCCTCTGGAGATCATTCCTTTCTTTATCCAGCTGCTTCACCCTTTCTCTAAGCTGCCTCTCTCGCTCTCCAAGCTGCTTCAACCGCTCTCCAAGCTGCGTCACCCGCTCTACAAGGACCGCCTTCATCGTTGAATCCTGTTCATGCTCGATCCTTTTCAGAACCTCCTTGATCTCTTGCTGTACCTCCTTGATCTCTTGTTTTACTTCCTTGATCTCTTGTTTTACTTCCTTGATCTCTCGCTGTACCTCCTCTATCTGAAGCTTCACCTGATCCTCTGATCCCCCTCCACCTCTCGTGTGCTTTACCAGACCATCAGACCAGCAAGAAGGATCACGAGCAATACCGGGCCATGACGAGACCCACTTCGAGTTGCAAGACACGGAGGAGCAAGACCATGAGAGGGCAGGAACCAGCATCCCGACGATCATCGTCGGCAGCTCAAGCGCCAACAACAGCATCATCGTTGTAGCCTCCGCCATCCAGCACTCAACCCAGTCCGCCTCAGAGAGAATGAGGATTTCCAGTAACCGGCGCAACCCCGGCGTAACCGCCGGCGCCGGCAAAGCTTTGTCCAATTACAGCCAAGATCGAAGCAATCAGTTTCGTCCTCATTCGGTACAAAACGAACGACCATCTGATGTTGTGCCAAACAAGCTTGAGTCCCCAACTGCGCATAACATCTACATTTTCCATACGAATAAAATGTACTAGTCGACTCAACGTTTGACAATTCGCACGCAATTCATCGTTCTCCTCTTGGACATCCCGATTAGTGCCCTTCCTAAGAACGGCTTTTGTTGTACATCGTCCATTCTTCCCCAGAACGGTTTTTGTTGTACATCATCCATTCTCAATGTTTTTGGCGCTATGTCCACGCCACGTCCATACCTGTCTGCCCCGATCCTGGCACACAAGATTGTACCTCACAGATCTCAGACTTCTCCCGTTCACAAGTATTGATTCTTTCTGGAGAACCCCTCATGGTATCTCTCATGAAAGTCCCAAACTTTGACATTCCAGATTTCACCAAACCAGAAATCCCAGGCAATTCGTTCGAGAAACAGACAGCATCTACAATCCGTAAACCATGCACGTGAAGTTTATTCTTTCTCGGTTTTCCTTAATTATAGAGGATTAGCTAAACTAGGAATCTGCCTCAGATACCTCAAAATAAAGTAAGTAAAGCTAGCACTATAAAATCCTATCAATGCTTCACCTCCACCTCATCATCATCAACAACACATCATCATCATCATCATCATCATCATCATCATCATCATCATCATCACTCTAATGTGCCATGATTAGATCCTTCTACATGACTTCTTGCCAGCAAGCGCATCTTGAGAAATTGTTGGAATGGCTGTTTTCCCACGTTGCTCACACGCACTGCTGGTGTATCCTTCCGAATCAAAATATTCATTCGCACAAAGATGATGGCACATCAGGCTTCCCTTCCAATGCAATGCCCTGTCTTTCAAAGGTATCTTTTTGCGTTCATTTGAAAAGGAGGACAAGCATAGATTACTTTATCCGGCAATCGTCCGCAGGATCTTCACTTCAGTCAGCTTGCACAATCATGCTGACGCAAACTTCGTTTACAAGTTTCTTGTCTCCTGCCTCGAAGATGCTGTCGACGCTGTTTTCCTTTGACAAGAGCTCTCCCCATGTTATTCCCGGAATGCGTGGGGTGAGGGGATCGATATTTGGGTCCGACCCGAAACTTTCACCTTGAGGCTCTGCTTCAACCTCTGTTTCAAACGCTCGTCGGAGGATTCTCCTCTCCTTTGCCACGGGCTGCACAAAGTAAGAGCCTTAGACGGCTGCCGATGGGCTTCTAGGGGATAGCTACAAAACCATTTCTTACTTCCTCTCGTCGATTCGTTGCTTGATCCAACTATTGTGCAATTCATTCTTTGATGTTTCTGCAAGCATTGATCAAATGCTTCGATTCTTTAGAGTGGAAATCTGTTGCCTCTCGTCAATTCATTGATCGGCATGACGAAAAATCGAAAAAAGTTGACTTCGAGACTTGTCGGGCGAAGCTGCTTGGGTAGGTCTTGAGGTCCAATCAAGAGGCTACCATACGTCAACCCCAACGATATCCGAAGCTTCTCCCTGCTCAAGCTCCATCGCCGCTCAACGTGTATGGCAACGAGCGCTGGCTGAGGGATGCAGCTGCTGCATGGACAAGGGTATAGAGGCCTCAACGGTTGGTAGGCCCATGTAACCTTTTTCATCGACAAGTACAACTGCAGGTGACTCACATCAGCGAGTATCGCTGCGCAAAGAAGACTTTCATTTTCTGTGACTTTCAAGAGCCGTGACTACAAGAGCCTTACAGGCGAAGTCTATTGTTCCAGAGCAGCCTTCCGAAGTTCCTCCCTCTGTGCCCAAGTTTCTCCCTGCCGTGACGCGTTGGTCCAGCTGGTAACTGATCAACTCTTCCAGCGGGTTTTTAAGATGAGGAGAGAAATCGTTCTGAATCTACGGTGAAACAGTACAATCATCGGTTAAAGACAATGATTTGAATCAGTCTCTTCAGCTGGTGCAAGTCTTCAGAGTATCAGGCTGGAATGGTGCACCCATTACAAGCAACTTCCTTTGGATTCCATTTGGACGAGTTTGAAGCTTATACTGCTCATGCTTCGCTTTCGTCTTCGCTATCCTCGTCTTCTTTCATAGCGAACAGTGCTTTCCTGACTTGAGCTCGTATCACGTGAATAACCTTTGCGATGATAGGCATCATGAGCATGAAAACCACCAGCCCTCCAGCAAACCGGATGAAGACGTCGGATATAAGAAAGGCGGCCATTGCTTCTGTTTCCCTCAGGCTGTCTCACGCTATCAATGTCTCAGAGTCTGTGATCACAGCCTGGCAGTCTTTCAAGCACCCAGCGGCTGCGCGATGTTTGTTATCCCTCACTCTAGCTTGTCCTTCACCTGATGAGAACAGAGTATACGCCAAGTGGTCGACCGTTGAGAACGGAAAATGACTTAGCCGTGGAACGGAAAATGACATGGCGCAACGGTCTGGACGATCCCGGAAGCAATTCTGAGCCCTGAGTAATTGCAAGACGCATACTATCGGGTAACAATCCGGTTTCACCTGACTTTGTAGTTTTACCTCCTGACTTCACTCGGAAGGTCTAGAGGATAATCGATCAGCTGGGACACATTCATTTCGTCTTGCTCCCGGCTTCCCCAACGGTTTCGCAAATGCAATACCCGTATTTCCTTCGTCGATCCTCTCATTCAGTGTAGTTTGACCTTCCGACATCACGAGAATAGTTCCCAGACTATTTTGGGGATTCTGTGTTCGATGTATTGAGTAACCATTGCAAAGTTTATGCCTGTGTTAGCCCGAACAGCAGTGTTCATAACGTCAGGCATCGCGACGGTGTCAAAGATTTCATCGCATGCATCCGCCTGTGTTCGATCCATGCAAGCACAAATCTGTCAACTTGGCAAATCAGGATAAGCTGCTCAGCAAGTCTCAGGCGACATCCCCTCCTCTAGTGGTTGGCGTCCGCCCTGAAGGCCATAGAAACATCCCCTTGCCCTGATTCTAATTCCTCACATTGAACCTGCTAAGGTGATTCGACATGTCCGGGCCAGCCTTCACTGTCTCGGATCTCGCCGGGGCAGGAGGGCCGCCACGGTTGCACGGGGTCGCATGAGTAATTGTATGGGCCCGCATGAATAAATTGCATGTGCTAGCACAAGTAGCCTTGCGATATACTTGATACACTTGACGCAAGACTTGACAAGATCATGGTAGCTGGTTCTCCTGGAGAAGATTGCCGTGAGGTTGACTTGCAGCCCGACAAGCATGCATTCCTTTATTCAGCGCAACATCTCTTGGTCAGATCTTGCCTCTCCCTTCAAGCGAGTGCTCAGCCCCCCCGTGATGAGAGGTCACAGTATTTCAATGCTCGCTACATCTGCCTGCTTACCCTCGGACCCCTTCTTCCATCCGTACTCCTCCATCGCCCCGCAATTCTTGATAGTGTCGATCTGAAAATCCTCCAGCCTTTCTGGCGGAACGATGAAAACTACTTTCACTTTCCAACCCTTGGTTGGGATGTTGAGCTTCTTGAGAGCTTTTGCGAAGGGAGAGAGCTTAAATGAGTGCGACGATGAAACTGTCACCTGCACAAGCTCGACCAACTTCGCACGCACATTCACAATAATAGCATCATAGCCTGGTTGAAACACGTTGATTGGCCTCAAGCATGCTCTCTCTTGAGGAAGACTCTCCATGACTTCGTTCGCATCGAAAAGAAACACTGGGCATCCCATCCAAACCTGATTCACACGTGACACGCCCTGCCGATACGTCAGGGTCAGCCCTTGCTTCACCTTCTTGAAAAATAAAAGCTCGAAAACGTAGCCCCTTATGCTGGGAATGCCTGTCCCATCCAACAGTCTTTTCAAAACGCCCACCTCCGCTACTTCCGCTAGCTTCATGGCGACGTACTTGCTCACAGGCATCCAGGACGCTTCTTCGCCATGCATGTACCGTGCAGTCAAGTGATTTACAGCATCCAACGAGGAGTCACCAACGATACCCTGGAACAGATGTTCTAGGTTTCGACACGATGCAAGAGCCCGATCCAGCCTCTGCTTCACCACCGCTGCCGTCTTTTCGAACATGTACCGACATGAGCCGCCAGCCAGGTAATGCTTCGACATAATCTGCTCTTCTTTCGTTCCATTCCTCTTCCGTATCCTCATACCAATGTGCACCGCAGTGTCGTGCAATGCTAGCATGGCTTTCACCCTCTCGTAGAAAGCATCGCACTTCACCGCATTCAGGTACTCACCAGTTGTCCATGATACAACGGTGTGCGGCATCAGGTTCACATCATCTTCGAACCTGTCCCGAACCTTTCCTCCAGACATCGACGTCACAACGATAACCCGTCGATTCTGTCTGTCACCTAGGAGCCATCTCGTACATGCTCGATAGCAGCGTGCATGATGCGACTCGTACCTCAAGTAGCCATCGATGACGACAAGACGCTTCTCGCTGTCCGGCCAATCTTCTAGTATTTTCCTGGTCCATTTCAGCGAGCATTCTGCTGGTATCGTGCACGATCTCCTCTTAGACCGTACTCGATGACGACAAGACGCTTCTCGCTGTCCGGCCAATCTTCTAGTATTTTCCTGGTCCATTTCAGCGAGCATTCTGCTGGTATCGTGCACGATCTCCTCTTAATCTGAATGCACTCAGTCCACTTAGTTGCATCGAGCTGAAAGAATGTCACGCTCCATTCCTTCATGCCAAGCGACAAGCAGAAGGCTAGCGTCGTCGTCGTCTTCCCAGTTCCCGGCGGACCTTGGATCCAGCCCAAGGCCCGGCTCTCTAACACCTGCTCCCTCAGGAAACGTTGCTGCTCGTGGAATGCTTTCCGGCAGTAAAGCAGTATCTCGCCGTCTCCTTGCAAGTATGATGCATTGAAACGAAAGTACTTGTTGCCATGGCAAAAGCCTGTCCGGTCCAGTCCTGCCTCTGACTCGACCCAGTCAATCCGTAGCCCATCGGATTTTCTGCTTTGCCTCTGGAGATCATTCCTTTCTTTATCCAGCTGCTTCACCCTTTCTCTAAGCTGCCTCTCTCGCTCTCCAAGATGCCTCAACCGCTCTCCAAGCTGCTCTCCAAGCTGCTTCTCTCGCTCTCCAAGCTGCGTCACCCGCTCTACAAGGACCGCCTTCTTCGTTGAATCCTGTTCATGCTCGATCCTTTTCAGAACCTCCTTGATCTCTTGCTGTACCTCCTTGATCTCTGGCGGTGCCTCCTTGATCTCTTGTTTTACTTCCTTGATCTCTCGCTGTACCTCCTCTATCTGAAGCTTCACCTGATCCTCTGATCCCCCTCCACCTCTCGTGTGCTTTACCAGACCATCAGACCAGCAAGAAGGATCACGAGCAATACCGGGCCATGACGAGACCCACTTCGAGTTGCAAGACACGGAGGAGCAAGACCATGAGAGGGCAGGAACCAGCATCCCGACGATCATCGTCGGCAGCTCAAGCGCCAACAACAGCATCATCGTTGTAGCCTCCGCCATCCAGCACTCAACCCAGTCCGCCTCAGAGAGAATGAGGATTTCCAGTATCCGGCGCAACCCCGGCGTAACCGCCGGCGCCGGCAAAGCTTTGTCCAATTACAGCCAAGATCGAAGCAATCAGTTTCGTCCTCATTCGGTACAAAACGAACGACCATCTGATGTTGTGCCAAACAAGCTTAAGTCCCCAACAGCATTTGCTCTGGAAGTACTTCATGGGTTCGCTCAATTTGTTCCATTTTCCATACGAATAACATGTACTAGTCGACTCAACGTTTGACAATTCGCACGCAATTCATCGTTCTCTTCTGGGACATCCCGATTAGTTGCCCTTCCTAAGAACGGCTTTTGTTGTACATCGTCCATTCTTCCCAAGAACGGTTTTTGTTGTACATCATCCATTCTCAATGTTTTTGGCGCTATGTCCACGCCACGTCCATACCTGTCTGCCCCGATCCTGGCACACAAGATTGTACCTCACAGATCTCAGACCTCTCCCGTTCACAAGTATTGATTCTTTCTGGAGAACCCCTCATGGTATCTCTCATGAAAGTCCCAAACTTTGACATTCCAGATTTCACCAAACCAGAAATCCCAGGCAATTCGTTCGAGAAACAGACAGCATCTACAATCCGTAAACCATGCACGTGAAGTTTATTCTTTCTCGGTTTTCCTTAAGTATAGAGGATTAGCTAAACTAGGAATCTGCCTCAGATACCTCAAAATAAAGTAAGTAAAGCTAGCACTATAAAATCCTATCAATGCTTCACCTCCACCTCATCATCATCAACAACACATCATCATCACTCTAATGTGCCATGATTAGATCCTTCTACATGACTTCTTGCCAGCAAGCGCATCTTGAGAAATTGTTGGAATGGCTGTTTTCCTACGTTGCTCACACGCACTGCTGGTGTATCCTTCCGAATCAAAATATTCATTCGCACAAAGATGATGGCACATCAGGCTTCCCTTCCAATGCCATGCCCTGTCTTTCAAAGGTATCTTTTTGCGTTCATTTGAAAAGGAGGACAAGCATAGATTACTTTATCCGGCAATCGTCCGCAGGATCTTCACTTCAGTCAGCTTGCACAATCATGCTGACGCAAACTTCGTTCACAAGTTTCTTGTCTCCTGCCTCGAAGATGCTATCGACGCTGTTTTCCTTTGACAAGAGCTCTCCCCATGTTATTCCCGGAATGCGTGGGGTGAGGGGATCGATATTTGGGTCCGACCCGAAACTTTCACCTTGAGGCTCTGCTTCAACCTCTGTTTCAAACGCTCGTCGGAGGATTCTCCTCTCCTTTGCCACGGGCTGCACAAAGTAAGAGCCTTAGACGGCTGCCGATGGGCTTCTAGGGGATAGCTACAAAACCATTTCTTACTTCCTCTCGTCGATTCGTTGCTTGATCCAACTGTTGTGCAATTCATTCTTTGATGTTTCTGCAAGCATTGATCAAATGCTTCGATTCTTTAGAGTGGAAATCTGTTGCCTCTCGTCAATTCATTGATCGGCATGACGAAAAATCGAAAAAAGTTGACTTCGAGCCTTGTCGGGCGAAGCTGCTTGGGTAGGTCTTGAGGTCCTATCAAGAGGCTACCATACGTCAACCCCAACGATATCCGAAGCTTCTCCCTGCTCAAGCTCCATCGCCGCTCAACGTGTATGGCAACGAGCGCTGGCTGAGGGATGCGGCTGCTGCATGGACAAGGGTATGGAGGGCTCAACGGTTGGTAGGCCCATGTAACCTTTTTCATCGACAAGTACAACTGCAGGTGACTCACATCAGCGAGTATCGCTGTCTCGAAATGATTGGGGGTAAAACGTTTTCATGTACGCAAATGTTTGTAATGAAATCAATTCACACAAATCATCGGTTACATGATGTCACAGATACGCAAAGAAGACTTTCATTTTCTGTGACTTTCAAGAGCCGTGACTACAAGAGCCTTACAGGCGAAGTCTATTGTTCCAGAGCAGCCTTCCGAAGTTCCTCCCTCTGTGCCCAAGTTTCTCCCTGCCGTGACGCGTTGGTCCAGCTGGTAACTGATCAACTCTTCCAGCGGGTTTTTAAGATGAGGAGCGAAATCGTTCTGAATCTACGGTGAAACAGTACAATCATCGGCTAAAGACAATGATTTGAATCAGTCTCTTCAGCTGGTGCAAGTCTTCAGAGTATCAGGCTGGAATGGTGCACCCATTACAAGCAACTTCCTTTGGATTCCATTTGGACGAGTTTGAAGCTTATACTGCTCATGCTTCGCTTTCGTCTTCGCTATCCTCGTCTTCTTTCATAGCGAACAGTGCTTTCCTGACTTGAGCTCGTATCACGTGAATAACCTTTGCGATGATAGGCATCATGAGCATGAAAACCACCAGCCCTCCAGCAAACCGGATGAAGACGTCGGATATAAGAAAGGCGGCCATTGCTTCTGTTTCCCTCAGGCTGTCTCACGCTATCAATGTCTCAGAGTCTGTGATCACAGCCTGGCAGTCTTTCAAGCACCCAGCGGCTGCGCGATGTTTGTTATCCCTCACTCTAGCTTGTCCTTCACCTGATGAGAACAGAGTATACGCCAAGTGGTCGACCGTTGAGAACGGAAAATGACTTAGCCGTGGAACGGAAAATGACATGGCGTAACGGTCTGGACGATCCCGGAAGCAATTCTGAGCCCTGAGTAATTGCAAGACGCATACTATCGGGTAACAATCCGGTTCAAAGTTAAGTTAAAAATCGGGTAACAATCCGGTTTCGTGACCTGACTTTGTAGTTTTACCTCCCGACTTCCTCCCGGCTTCCCCCGACACATCCAGTGACTCATTGACTGACTCAGCCTGGCAGTGAGCCTCGGAGCCTGGTGGCATGAGTGAACCCGACCGAGCCTGGACTCCGGGAGCCCTCAGTGCTGGAGCCTCCGAGCCGCCTGGCGGGCTCCGAGTCGGAGCCCGGCCCGACAACTTTCAAAAGGCCGACAAACTGGCCGACAAAGGTGCAGATGCAAGAGGGCGATGAATTGCGTTTTTTACGAGTCGCAATGGTATCTGGATAAAAGGCAGGCGCAGCCATGAGCTTCGTAGGAGCTCCATGCACATCTGCTGGTCCCTGCTCTCATCGCATACTCTCTTCTTCCTCCACGCCCTCTCGGGGATTCCGGAGGCAACGAAACGCTTTGCTGATTTTCTTGCTCTTGCTCCTCCTGCCATGCACCCTTACTCTCCGACTGGACTTCTCTTTCCCTTCAAGGGGCGACACCAGTGCACTTGCGTTTGTGAGGTCTTGCAAGATTCATTTCCATCAAGGAGAAACGAACATGATGTGGTTGCAGTTTCGGTTGCGAGGTGGAAATGGTCCGCACAACGATGCCTGTAGCAGGGAGTACATCCTAGCGGTGCTGGAAGACATCTTGGCCGGAGACAACAAGTTGATTGAGGAAGCAGAAAGCAAGATTGAGCTCAACCTGAAACAACCGAAATTTGTCCAAAACCTGCTCAACTGCGCAGTGACCAACAAGCTCAGTGTTGACATCAGGCAGCTAGCTGCAGTAGTGAGTAGCATTGAGAGCTGTTCCAATGCTCTATGGTTCGCTGAGGGGAGCTTTTTCAGATCCTCAGGAGAAGGATCCAAGAGTTCTGGCCTGTTCTAGATGACAAACAGAAAGAGAATTTCCAAGAAGAAGTATATACTGCACTCTTTCAAGATTCAACGCTAGCGTCTTTGAAGCTCAGCAGAGCGGTCCGGATTGTTTTTCGAGAGAAATTTGAATTGAATCCTCCATTGCAGTTGGCAGCTTTGATAGGTGAATCGGCTGGCGTCTCGTCATCGTTCACATTTTTCCATTCCACGATGAAAAAGGTGAGAAATTCACGGTTGATTTATCAGAATACTTCGTCGATCTCACAGCTTTGCAGTTGTTCGAATTGTCAAAACATGAGCAGTTACCCTTGCGGAGCATTGCGCTGGAACTGTATTCCAAGTGTCTTGTCTGCGTTGCACGAATCATGAACCACCTGATATTGCAGAATTTCGGATATCTTTGACGCTGGGGCCGATGAGATGGGAGGTTACGTTGACCAGCTCTCTGAGGCTGCCATAGAATCCATGTCACACGTGAGTTGTATCGACTCCTGATGCTTCTGGTTGTCACGTTTGAAGCCCTCAGTATCACAACCTTGTAAGGAAAAAGGGCATCAAGCTGGCCCTCAATCTCATGACAAGGTGTGCCTTATTGTTGCTGTGGAACCGCTGATGTTGAATCCAATCTCCCGCGATCCGTTAGAGGACAGCAATATAATCTCAAGTACTCCATGCTGGAAATGTCCCATAAGACCTTTTCAAGAGCGGTAGAAGATCTGAATGTTGATCTCTCACCAGCTGAATGGTAACGATCGCAGGTCCACGAGAAAGATTCGAAAATGATTCTCTCTTGCGTTGATTTCTACGTCGAAGTGTTCACGTACTGCTGGGCTCTATTTGACATTGCACGGCTTGATGACATCGTAACGTTTTGTGGATGATCATTCGATTCGTTGACCAGCCTTTGCTGTCCAGATTGAGTTGGCCTTCAGGGCTTCAGAAGCTCCTGAGGTGAGCTCGACCGCGAGGAAGAAGGCGATCTTCTTGTTGGCTGAGATCGCATCTCTACGAGGAGACGCTGTTGAGGAAAGAAAGCTGGTTGGAAACATTCTTGCAAGGGTGGTAAGGCAGCTCGAGGCTGTTTTCAAGGATTTGGAGGTAGCACAAATCTGTGACGTGTTGTCCACCGACCACGAGGGAAACATAGATGCGTTTGATGACGACGGAGAGTTTGAGGAAGGAAGCTCCACTTTGGAAACATACAGATCTGACAACTCAACATTAATCCCGGAGTATAAGATGCTCTTAGGAAAGCTGATGGACTCAAAGTCCTCGAAGAATGCGACACTGCTGGCTTTCAGATACGTCCAAGGCGAAGAGGACGAGCAGTGGGAGAAAGAGACGGACAAGATGAAATCAATGCTTCTTCGGATCATGCTCATTGAAAGTTTTTGTTACGGGAAATCATCGGCTGATGGCTTGAGAGAAGCGAATTTGGTCTGATGTATATTCCACTTCCCTACGTAATTTGACGTTACGGCCGCAGGTTAGTCGAACTTTGAACATTTTATCAAACAGACACTTGATAGACGCCAAAGAAATCAGTGGCTATGTCTTCCAGACGTTCTGCTCATTTGTCAACTCATTTCCGGAAGAGATCCGGTCGGACCTGGACGAAAACATTCTCATGTTTGTTGTCTCAAATCTGCACATAGAGACCCACGGGAAAACCTGCAGCCTCCTTCTCGAGTTTATAGAGAGCCTAGCCAAAGCTTCTTGTCCATCCCTGGTCGACTACGTTCCCAAAGTCCTCACGTTCTTGTTCGAGCAGTTCGCCTCCGACAAGTTGCTTCTGCACGATCGAGCGCTCAAGTGCCTCTGCTGCATCATTGCCTCCTTCGAGCTGGCCGACGAGACGATGGAGAAGTCTATCACGGCAGTTGGAAATCTTTATGACAAGCTGGCAAATCACTCGCAAGGCAAGGAGGATGAACTTGACGACATGTTGATCCGTGCGGAATGCGTGAAGAGCCTCGGGAAGTTCCTCACTCGGAGCAGCTCGAAGACGCTCAAGGAGTACTCCTTCCTCTGCATGGAGAGGATCCTGATGGCGTTCATGGGCCCCGAAAAAGAAACGATCCTAAGAGAAGCAGCGCTGGAGTCGCTTGCTGATGTGATCTCCGTCCTCCAGCAGGCGTTCCAGCCCTTCCTGGACATTGTAAGATGGCGATGTTCATCGATGCGACAGATGACAGGAAAGAGACTTGACGACGTTGGTGCAGGTCATTCCACCGTTGAAAGCTTGCCTGGATCCTTCCCAGACCCTGGAAGACTATATCTACCAGGGGAAGGCTGATGATGTCGATCAGGTACACCTGACCGTGAAGACTCGGCGAGTTTATCTGTTCCCAGGCGGAGCTGAACAAGGTGGTTCAGCGAGCGAAGGACACTGGCGAGAAATCCAACGAGGAGAAGGCGAACGCTGTGAAGCTGTGCAGGGTAGGGCAGCTCAGAAGGTTTTCTGCCCCAACTGACCACGAGCTGCAGGTGTTAGCTGAGAACCTGGGAGAAAGCTTCTCGCCGCACCTCAGGGGCATCTTCAAATCCATCATCAGCATGCTCCAAATTCGCAACCTTCAGATCTGCAAGGAGTGTCTGTGGACCGTCCAGACCCTCGTCACCTTCGCGGTGACTTACTGGTCTCGTCCCTCGCTTGATGAAAGGCAGCCTCCTGCCCTCCACGCCGTCTCAGAGAACTTGGCAGACGAGGCTATACACTCTGTGCTGCAAATCATGCGGAAGAGCAGCGAAGGAGAACTGACGGGTATCGCTTGTCGAACGCTCGTCGGGATCTTTGAGATGGTGCGATGGAACTTCATGAAGGATTATCTCGAGAAGGTCACGGAAGTGATGAAGCAAATCATGGACCACAACATCGAGGCTTCCATCGCTTTGGAGTTCGACAACGTCGAGTATCTCTTCTCCAGTCTGCTCCACGCCGTCTGCATGATCTCAAAGCTCTGGAAGGAGCATCGGTTGACCAAGGAGGAGCTTGAAATGCGGGAAGGCACCTCGAACTCAAAACTCTTTCGTAACTTCTTTGACGAAGTTTTCCCGAATTTCCTTGAGTGGTCATCGTCTCACCAACCCATGTGGATGCAGAGGTTGGCGCTAGGAGCGGTTGGAATTGTCTTCACCGACATAGCTGTGTCGAAGAGCAGTCTCCCCCTCGACCGATACTCCTACTACATGATTCCTGTGCTCAACTCCAGCCTGACAAGCATCCTGTCAAAGTTTTCGAGTGGAAAGGGGGATGACGTCGACATGCGACTCGTGCAGAACGCTGCTGCCTGCTGTGGAATCATCGCAACTCACGTAGGAGGAGAGAGAGAAGGGACGAGGAGGAGGAGAAGGAGGAGGGAGGAGGGAGGAGGGAGGAGGGAGGAGGGAGGAGGGAGGAGGGAGGAGGGAGGAGGCAGCTGCACTGACAACAACTCGCAGTCTGAGAAAACAACCATCGGGGCTTGCTATGGAATATTTGATCTTCTTCTCAAGCTCACCGACGTAAAGGAAATCAGCGGCTTCGCTCGAGACAACATTGTGAGTTAATCTCCCTCTCGATCTTTGAATTCCCACCTGCATCCCCTCCTCCGCCGCTCCCTTCCTATTCCTACCTTTCATCCTACATTCCTTACTTTCCCCCAACCATCTCCTCGTCATTCTTGTGGTAAACTCATCCCCTCCCTCTCTACTCACATCAGCAACCAGGTAGCAAGTCTGTCCAGATTGCTCTGCTCAAGGTTCTTCTTCGTTAATGTGGAAAAAGGCGACCAGGCGGTGCGGAAGAAAGTTTTCTGAGGGGCAAGAGACTGACACACAGTCTAGATCAAGTTGTTCTTCGACTCCTTCCCTCTCCGACACGATGTCTCCGAGAACATGGTCCCCGTCCCCCTCTCCCCCTCCCTCATGTCAAGTTTGACACGTTGAACAGGCCCTTATTGTCTTCTTCAAGCGCCTTATCTTCTCAGACGCTCGCTTCCCCAACCTCTGCGACTTCATCGTCGAAAACTTCGGAAAGTTCCTGGAGGATCCCCAGCTAGAGCCCAAGATCTCCAAGCCGGTCAGGGACGCTGCCGTCGACCTTATAGAGTTCGTCACCGGGGCCAACCCGAACGTTCCCCTCGATCCCTTTATGGAGCCAGGCTGAAAGAAGTATGTCAATCATCAGGACTGACGATGTCATTCGGATCGACTGACGATGTCAGTTAGCATGACTAAAGGTGTCTCTTAAGTTTAATTGAATAGTGGGGTAGTTAGTTTGTCAAAGTCATTCAAATGATTTCCTTCTCAGCTCGACCCCAGGTTTGCCTTGAGGATTCGGGCCCCCTGCTCCAGCTGCCAAAAGAAAAAAGTCAAACTCCAACTGCTAACAACCGCAGCTGGGCCTCACCAGCTTGATCTTCAGGTTCGCTCCCTCGATCTCCCGCTGCTGCTGCTGCTGCCGCTGGCTGATCTGCTCCAGCAGTCGACCAGCAGCGTTCATCAGTTGGCTCCAGTCCTTCCTCCCTCCGAGCTTCCTTGTGTCCTGCAGCAGCTCCGACAGGATGTCCTCCTGCGCCTCTTCCACCTTCATCCCGTGCAGCTGGTGCAGCAGAGTGAGCAAGTGGGTGCGGTGGGCTCTGCTCTCGTTCTCCGCCTCCCTCAGGCTCTCCTGCTCGCAGACTTCAGCAGCTCGTCGGCTGCAGCCGCCAGCTCACCTGTAGCTGCTCCTCCTGGTCGATCTTGAAGAGGAGGCAGTTCTCCTTGTCTTGCTCGTTCCCTCCCGCAGCTTGCGTGATCCTCTCGATCACCTTCTTCTGCTGGGCGACGATCTTCTCGAATGCTGCCTTCTCCTTCTTCAGCTGGTTGTTCTCCTCCTTCACCTTGGCGTGCATCTGAATCTTCTGCTTCAAGTTCTGATGGCCTACAAGCTGCTGCCAGTCAGCCAGCACCCAAAGGTCTCTCCCTCCCTCTCTCCTCTCCTCTCCTCTTCCCCCCCCCCCCTCTCCTCTCGCTCCCTCTTCTCCCCTCTCCATGCCTGAATGTTCTCCTGCGTGAGCTTTGCATTCTCCTTCTCCAACTGCTCCATCCTCGACGTCATCGACGCTCGCTCCTGCAGGTTCTTTTCTAGCTCCTCCTTCATCTGGAAGCTCTTCTCTGTCGCCTGCTGCTCTTTCTCCCGCAGCACTTGCATTGCCCGCAGGCACTCCTGCCTCTCCATCATTGAGGACTCCAGCTCAGCCTGCTATCCGCGTCAGCCATGGACCCTCTCGGCCGTCACTCCGTATCCCCTCCCCTCCTCCCCTCCTCCCCCCCTAATCTGGTCTTCTCCCCTGTACAGACCTGCAGAGCCGCAAGCCTCGAGTTGGACGATGGGGGCCCGCAGGACGAGCTTCCCAGCGCCTTGAGCTGCATGTCTGTGTCTGCGTACATCTTGACAACTGCCGAGTGCGACTCCTCCACCTGCTGCTCCAGCTGCCTCCTCTCGACTTCCTTCTCCTTCACAGTCTCTTGCAGCATGGCAAGCTGGATGTGGGCTTCCTGCAGGTCGGCCGCTCTGCCTGCCAGCTCGTCCTCCAGCCTCGCCCTCATCTCCTCCATCCCTCTCGTCAGCTCCGCCTCCCTCGCAAGTAGCGTCTTCCTCACGTCGTCGCACTCTGCTGTCTTCCACGTCAAGTCGTTGTCAAGGGCCGCAAGCTCGTTGGCAAGAAGGTCAGAGGTCAACAAGATCGCTTGCCTCATCTCATTCACTTCATCCATTAGCAGACCGCACGAACCCTGCACAGCCTGTGATTGAGCGAAGGAGTCCTCCCAGGCCCTCTTCAAATGCTCCTCGACTTCTGTGATAATTTGGTCTCTTTCCTTCAGCTCATGATCAAGTCGGGAGAGGCTCTGTGAAAGTTCCTGCAGCTTCTGCTCCATGCAAGACAGCGAGCCTTGAAGCTGGGCGATCTCCTCCTCTCGGGCGGCGACGACGTCCTTGGTCTGGGCCAGCTCGCCTCCGAGCTGGGCGATCTCCTCCTCTCGGGCGGCGACGACGTCCTTGGTCTGGGCCAGCTCGCCTCCAAGCTGGGCGATCTCCTCCTCTCGGGCGGCGACGACGTCCTTGGTCTGGGCCAGCTCGCCTCCAAGCTGGGCGATCTCCTCCTCTCGGGCGGCGACGACGTCCTTGGTCTGGGCCAGCTCGCCTCCGAGCTGGGCGATCTCCTCCTCTCGGGCGGCGACGACGTCCTTGGTCTGGGCCAGCTCGCCTCCAAGCTGGGCGATCTCCTCCTCTCGGGCGGCGACGACGTCCTTGGTCTGGGCCAGCTCGCCTCCGAGCTGGGCGATCTCCTCCTCTCGGGCGGCGACGACGTCCTTGGTCTGGGCCAGCTCGCCTCCGAGCTGGGCGATCTCCTCCTCTCGGGCGGCGACGACGTCCTTGGTCTGGGCCAGCTCGCCTCCAAGCTGGGCGATCTCCTCCTCTCGGGCGGCGACGACGTCCTTGGTCTGGGCCAGCTCGATTTGGGTTTGATTGTTTGTTGCGGTTTTTTCGTCAATTTCTGCCTTGAGATGCTGCATCGCTTCTTCATTTTGCTGAATGGTTCGCTTGTTTGTTTCGTTCTCCTCATGTTTCATCTGTAGGTCTGTAATGGTTCGGTCCAAGGAGGTGTTCAGCATTGAAATTTCTTTCTGTTGTGCTGAACATGTCTCCACACGGTCATGATACCTTGCCACGACATCACTGATCTCCTGTTCGAAGCAAGTCAGTTGTTTGCCTAAAGCTGATTCAGATGCGGACCTTGTCCATTTTGAGCTTGACGGTCTTTTGCAACTGATCAAAGCTCGACTGGGTGTCGGCGCACAGATTGCAAATCTCAGAGAGCTTTTTGTTGCTGGTTTTAATCTCAGCTTCCTTTGCCTCCAACCACTCTTGGAGAGTTCTGTTTCGCTCTTCCATTTCTGCCTTGTGAGCAAGCAGTTGCTGCAACCTGTCGATCATCTGTCTAGCGAGTCAATCGCTGTCAAGGGTCGTTGTATTCTCACCTCATCTCTGTCAGACATCAAGGTGTTAATTTCGCTCTGGTACGACATCAAAGATGCTTCATAGCTCTCAACCATCGCAAACTTCTCAATCTCAACCTCCCTGTTGATGACTTGAGCTGCCGTCAACTCCTCCCGACACTCGTCGCACTCCTTCATCAGGTCATGGATCGTTTGACAAGCTCTCTCAAAGATGTCAAACTCAAGCTTGTCCATCAGGCTCGATGTGCCATCCTCGTCCCTCAGCTCATCGAAGTCCTCCATTTCCTTTAGCTCCTCCGCTACCTGAGACTGCTCGACAATGGTCAGCTGTCCACCTCCCACATGAAAGTCAATGGTGAAGAGAGACGGTCAACGGTCAACTAGATGGGTGCAAGGAGGGCAGTTGGAGGATGAGGCTATGGGAGGACACGGCGGAGAGACCTGGAGGAAGTGGTCGGCCATGTGCAAACAGGACTTGAGCTTGTTGTTCCGGGATCTCAACAGGGTCACTTGGCCCTCAAGCTTCTGACAGGCTCTTCCTGACTCGATCAGCTCCTCTGTTAGACCTGAAATCTCGTGCAGGAGGGCGGAATGCTTTGCCCCCATCTCCCCAATCTCAGCCTGAGACGGAGTGAGGAACATTGACCGAGATTAGTCGTCCTCACCTGATATCCCTGTGCTGCCTGCTCAGCATCGAGCAGAGAGGAAGTCAGCTCCCTCTGCAAGTCGGCGATCTGCTGGAACGAGCTCTCCTCGCAGGCCATCAGCCTCTCGCATCTGCAAGTCATCTCCAGCAGCTCATCGTGCAGGGATGCATCGTCGTCTGCCCGGGCTGACAGTTGGTGCAGGGACGCCAGGAATTGTTCGTGGCCAGCTCGAGCTTCGTCAAGGGAGCTTTCAAGGTCTTGAATGAAGGTCTTCTGCTTCTGGATGATGGATTCCAGGCTCATGTTCCTCTGCGCAATCTTGATCTTCTCACGATTCACCCCCAACAGCATCCCCTCCACCGCATCCTTCTCTTCGCAGAACTGTTTCAGCTGGGAGGACAAGGTTTCCACCTGCAGGTTTGCTTCCTCGAGCTCTGACTCTAGCGTCTCTACCCTCGCATGAAGCTGCGAGAGCCTGGGATCCTCCGACAGCAGGCATGCAAGTGCTGGGAACTCCTCCGCAACGCAAGTCAGCATCGAGTTAGCCTTCAAGACTTTCTTCTCCAGCTCGGAACCAGCGTTTCCCAAGGCCTTCTGAAGGGGCTCGATCTTCTTCCACACCGCAGGCAGCCCGGCGTTACCTGATGACTTGGAGGGCTTGATCGCCAAGTTCGTCTCATCGTGCACTCTCCCCTGAAGTTGATCGACCTCTCCCTTGACTCTTGAGACCTCCCCAACAGCTGACACGCACTCAGAGAACAACTTGGAGACCATGGTTAGGATCTCTTCCCGCGTTGCGTTCGACGCTGGGTTCTTTGGGTTGCAGCCGCCGCAGTACTTGTTGTATGCTCCGGTCAGCCTTTTGATAGCAGATTCCACATCCGAGGAGGCAGGCAAAGCTCTGTGTTCAGGGAGCGAGTTTTCACTGCTAATGGCGTACGTGCCAGGACCAAGATGGCAGAACTCGCTCAGACGATGGAGTTTCCTCTCGCCGACTCCCATGCTGAAGCCTTTCTTGGTGGAGGAGAGGGACTTGTTCGAATCATACTCACCAGGGCCAGGGGTGTAGCTCCTGGCCTCGGAGAACCTTGATGAAGTGCTCCTTCCGAACATTTCGATCAGGATGCACAGGAGAGGGGAAGATCAGAGAGGGATGGGGCAGCAGGAGTGGTTGACAACAGGAGAGAGGTGGGGAGAGGAGGGGAACGGTGGATGAAGGGGAAGGCGTGTAGATTTTGAAAAAACTCAAAACCGAATGGCCGTTGTTCAGCCGTTGCGGCATCCGGACCCGGGGGCCGCGCGGCGGGCCGAGGCTCGCCCGGCCCGGGCACTCAACTTCACTAAAAATAAGTGAGCTAAAAGGATCTCAAAAGATTTAGCTAAAGGGGTTTATAAAGGGCAATGGCGGGGAAAGAGAGGAAGGGGAACAAGATCAGCCGCGCGATGGTGGAGGGGAGGGAGGAGAGCCAGCATGAAGAAGAGACGACAGTGAGGATCTCTCAGAGATGGGAAGACGAGGAGCAAGAGAGGAAATCTAGCGAAGAGGTGTTGAACGGCATCTCGAACGATCGCTCCCCCTCCTCCCAAGAATGGCTGCCCCCTAATCCCGCGGATGAAATCCCTATCATGAAGAGAGGTCCCAGCTCTTTCGAGGAGCTCCTCGAGAGGGAATTGGCGAAGGACTCATCGTCAACAGACACTATCAAGTCAGCACCGAACTCTGGCACCCGAACAAGCTTCTTGAAACGAGGTACTAGATCAATTTCATCGTTCTCGTCACTCATGATCTTTCAGGAGGTGGTCTGAATGCTTCATTAGTGAATTTAAAGAGTGATCAAGATAGAAGGCAGAGCATGAACGACTCGACAGGAAAGAGTCGACAACCCTTGGCTGAAACCAACAGGACCAATCAAAGCTCCTCGAAGTCCAACACGAAAGCTGCAAAAGACGGACGAGAGAACGCTAGGAGCTCGTTGGAGACCAGGAGATCGACTGATATGAAAAGGGAGGAGATGAGGCCCAAAACAGCTCCGAGCTCATTTCATGGGAGCCACTCCGAGGAAGATGCGGAGGTCGGCAACGGGACCTGGGAGCGGAAAGTAGCGAGGAACTTGCAGGACGAGTGCGATCAGGCAGCTTCTCTGTCTGATGACTACCAGGAGACATCAGATCAAGAGAGGAACACGCTGACAGCAAGGCCTTCCCTCTATGAGGACGAGCCTCGTGCTCAAACTCGCTTCAATGGTGGAGATGACTCTTACAGGGAAAACAGCGAGGACGAGGAGCTTCGCGAGTTTGAGTCAATCGAGAGAAAGATTGCTGCTGGTTTGCAAGAGAGTGGAGCAATACAGGTGAATGCCTTCACTGATGGGGAAGGAGCGATGAAGAACAACATGCTGAACGATGAGGATGGGGAGGACATTTATGATGAAGACGCTGAGGAGGAGCCGGCCTTGATTCCTTACCGCTCGAATGCGCATATTGAATATGGTGATGATGAGGAGTGGTCAAATGATGCGGAGACAAATGCAGGTCTGACTGCAAGTATGACTAAGGGATACAGCGACGAGAACAATATGATGGAAGATGACATCAATTACTATGGGAAGGCTCCTGAAGGCGAACATACCGTGACTCGATCGAGCCTCGTGAACAAATTTTTTGTGAATGATGAGAAAGGAAAATCAGCTAAAAGTCTGTCCTCGGGTAATCGAAATCAATCAAACAAAAGTCAATTGAAATCTCCAAACAAACAGAAAAAAGTTACCATCGCATCACCAAGATCTGAAATCCAAAAAGGGAAAAAGCAAAGCGCTGAGCAAGAGATGAAACATTCTGGCGAACAAAGCGAAGGCGCATCTGTAGAACGCAAAGTGCTTGAATTAGAAAACGAAATCATTGAGTTTCGGAGGCAGAATGAGATGCTTCAGAAAGTTAGATCCGAAGTTGAAAGTCAAAGGCAGGCTTTGATAGCCGAGAAAGAAGGCCTCTCCAAGAATTTGCACGATGCCGAGAACAGGTTCGAGAAATACAAAGAAGCCGAAATGAAGAAACTTCGAAAGGACAGAAAAGATATGGAGAGGAATGTTGCTCTGTGGCAGCAGCAGGTCCAGGACACGCGTGCCGAACGAGATAGTGCCAGGAAGGAGTTGCAGGCAGCGCAGGAGGAAAACTCTCGTAAAGAGAAGAAGTTACGGTCAGAGATCGAGAGGCTGAAGAAGAAAGTTGACGATTTGACGGCAAAGAATGAAGAGTTGGCAAGAGAATTGAAATTCAGCGAAGAAGCTCGTCTTGCCATTCAAGATAGGGAAGTGCTAATCCAAGCCAAAGCAAAACTCTCCAAGGCCAAAGAATCAACTGCACGTGATAATTTTGTTCCTTGCATGACCCCCAGATCGGAAGAGACTCTAGCTTCTCATATAGCACAAGTGGCTGTGGAGGAATCGAATAGCATCAAGATCATTCCGGACATGCAGGAGAAGAGGACCACTGCACTGAATATATCCAACGATGGAACGAGCATCATCACGCAGAGTCGAACAGACCTTCTCGACGAGACTCTGGTCATTGATGCTGGTTTGAGAAAGCAGGAAAGCTCGAAGGGTTCCGATGAAGAGACCCAGCTCGTGTTAGAAAAGCAACATGCAGATGGAAAAATTGAGCAGAGGTATTCAGATGGCAGAAGAGTTCTTATTTTTTCGAATGGCACCAGTAAGTTTCTGAGACATGTCTTCACTGAAAGTGACTGACATCTTTCCTAAGGAAAGGAAATCTTCCCCGACGGTGGCAGCCTCGTCCATTTCTCGAACCGTGACGTGAAGAGGAATTTAAAGGACGGACGAGTCATTTACTTCTATGCTGAGACCAGCACAACTCACACGACATTTCCTGACGGCATCGAGGTAAGTTGCTGTAGTGCTTGAAAGTCAAACAACGAGCTCACACCATCGTGCTGCAGGTTTTTGAGTTCAGCAACAATCAGAAGGAGAAGCACTATCCTGATGGAAGGAAAGAGATTCTTTTCCCGGATGGCACATTGAAGTATATCAAGAGCAACAAGGAAGAAGAAAGCATATTCCCTGATGGAACAAAGCAGAGAATATTCAGGTGTGTTTGATGGTAGGATGAGCATTAGGATGCTTCTTACTTTGCCCACAGCGACGGGACTAGAATGATCGAATTCACAAACGGATTGATCGAGACCATTTCTCCCTCAGGTTCAAAGAAAAGAGAATTCAGACCCAGAGACTGATGGAAAAGCGAAGCTGACCAGTCGATTAATGATGTATAAATTTGTAAGCTCAAAGGAAGGAATAGAAACGTGCTCTAAAGGCGAGCATCAAATGTTGGTGGTCGTCTTGAGTTCTCGTCGCTTACCAAAGCGCACGCATGTAATGACCGACGAAGTGAGGCTTCTCCTGTTTCGCCTTCGCGAGTGACGGAGCAGGCTGAAAATGCTGAGTGGGGAAGGACCGAAAGCTGGCACGCGATCCGCCTGAGTCATGTCAGAAGCCAACCTCTCACCATAAGATAGCTAGCTCACAGTGCCTGAACTCCTTGCAGGATTCCGGATGATCCTCATCGTACTTATCCATTATGCTGTTGCTTGGCATGACGAAGCCTACGAGACGAAGCAATTCAGCCCAACTATTTGTCTATCCTACCCTCACTCTCCTTCCCCTTTACGACTTTCATGTCTCTCTGTGGCTTGCTCTTGATCCTCATCCTCTCTCCTCCCCTCTTCTCCTTCTCTCCTTCCCCCCTCTTCCCTCATTTTCTCCTTCTCTCCTCCACTCCTCTCCTCTCCTCTCCTCTCCTCTCCTCTCCTCCTCTCCTCCTCTCCTCCTCTCCTCCTCTCCTCCTCTTCTCTCTTTCTCCTCCTCCTTCTCACCCGCCTGCTCCTCAGGGACGAGGGACGTGAAAGTTGCCGACAAGATCGCAAACATGGCGCCCTTGCTTCTATTTGCGGATGGACCGTTACTGTAGTCAAAATATCGTAACTGTAAGTGTAAGGAATGAACCACCACCCTCCTACTTCTTCACCCCTACCCCTCCATCATCTTGATACAACCCCCTAGTCCCTAGGTCCCATTCACCCCTGATACTATTATCACCCTACCCCCTCTTTCCTTCGCCTTCACAAAATTCCGTGCCTTACCCCTCTACTACCCCACCCAGTCCTAGTCTTCTACCTCCCAATATCTACCACCCCTCTCTCCCCCCGGCATTTCCTTCCACTTTGCACGCCTTCGGTCAACACAAGGGGTCCACCACCCTCGTTCGCCTTGATATGACTTTCTCGTAGGAGGTCCTAGGGAACAAGGCGAAGTAGGTCAAAGAATGGCACCGGGCGCATGGAGCTATTGGAAGTCAGTGAAGAGCTTGACAGGAGAGGAGAGGAGAGGAGAGGAGAGGAGAGGAGAGACGGTGTGGAAAGAACTCAGCAGAGATCAGTACAGCAGAGCTAATCTCATAACAGAGCAGAGCAGAGCAGAGCGAGGATATTACGAGTAGATGAACAAAGTAGGAGGAAGGGATGCAAGGGAGGATGTTTACAACGTGACAAAGAAGAGGCGAAAGCAATGTGAATCTTTCTGAAGCCATTTTACCAGGTGGATGGCAGCGAAGTTGGATATGAAGATGACCGAGGAAGGGAGCTGAAGGATGCCTAAGGAACGTGCTGAGCCACTCACCGCCATGTCGGTTCGCGGCGGATCCATCAAGGGGGAGAACCCCGTCTCCCTCCGGCTGTCAGGGAATTCGACGACTTCAACGATCTACGATGGAGCCATGGAGGTTTACAGCACAAAACTCATGCAGTGGAATGGCAGGCGAGGGGTGCTCAGCGCAAGGTATTTGTCCTTGTACACCAACGAGATAGAGGAGGACTTCGGGACTCTCAAGGACATCGTGGCCACCTCAGAGATCGATCATGTCCGTGCTGTCTCGACGATGATCTTGCTTCTCCTTCTCACCCTGCTGGCAGGTGGCCTCACTCAAGGTTGGAGGCCATGCCGCCCTTGACAGCTTCTACAATGATGTTTTCCCTCAAGAGATCGACACGGTCGACACCTTCTTCCATGTCCGAATACAGATGCTGCCCTCGAGTGAGAATCTTGATTCAGGATTTCTTCTCCTCAGGCTAGAGTCGAACCCAACCATAAGCTTTCACCTGACGTTTACTTTGCAGATTTGTCGAAGAAAGTCTTTGCAGAACATTCCTGGAGAAGTTGTCAGAGATCGTGGAAATGCACAGAGCTCATCGATCGAACTCTTCTACCATTCGATTCAAGATCAAACGACTACAGAAGAAAGTCCGCGATTTCTATCAGTCTAATCCCGTCCAATTTTCCACGTCCATGCTGATCTCGCTGAATTTCATCAGCAACGTTTTGCAGTCTGAATTCTTGCCTGTACATTGATCTTAGCGCCTCTATGTCAAACCTTACCAACAATGATTAGGTGAATGGTTCATATTACGACGTTGTCTTCTCAAATCTGGACATCATCTTCACTGTTTTGTTCACTTTAGAGGTCACAAGTTGTCATCTGCCTCTTGTGCCTTACCTCTATCTGGCAGCTGGCTGTCAACATGTGTGGAAATCTCTTCCGAAGGTTTGTTTCAGACGGATGGTCGCTGTTCGACCTGGTACGACTCTTCGACTATCATGGAGCTGATGTGACGCGCAATGAGTAGTTGGTCGTGATGGTTTCCATCGTTGCGCTCTCCAACTACAACCTCCCAGGGATCAATGCCATCAGGCTCTTGAGAGCCTTCAGGGTACAGGGGATGAGGGTTTTCCGATCTGCTTGTCGTCACGAGGCTTGCCTTGCTCCAGGTCATCCGGCTGTTCGGCAGGCTCCAGTCCCTGCGCCTCATCATCAACAGCCTCTCTGCAAGCATCCAGCCTGTCTTCCACGCCTTCTTCCTGATGCTTCTCATCACTTCGATCTACGCAATCCTGTCAGTTGCCCGCTAGCTGCATGCCCTCTTGTTCACAGGATTGCTCCAGTGCCGTCCAGCTCTTCGGTCCAGACTCGCCTCGCAATTTCGGGCGCTTCTCCAGCTCGCTCTTCACGGTTACTGAGACCCCTTTGAGTGTCGGCCTGCTGACGGAGGGTGCAGATGTTTCAAGTCTGCACGGGAGACGGATGTGAGGAGGCGGACTCGTCGATAAACCGACTGACAGTGACTGCCAGGGTCCTCGGAGATCGTGAGGCCGCTCTTCCGAGACAATCAAGGGCAGTACAATGTTGGGGTCGCGTTCTTCTTCGCCTCCTTCATCGGTCTCTTCGCCCCCCTCTCTCTGCTATCACCAGCCTCCTCCTCACCCCTATGAGCAGTCTTCGTCGGTTGGACGCTGTTGCAAGTGGTGGTGGCCGTCCTGCTGGAGAATTTCACCACTGCTGTGGAGCAGGAGAAGGAGAAGGTGAAACTGTGCTGTGCGACCTCCCTGCTCGTCCTACGACCATGACTGCGATTTTGCGATTTCCCTTGCAAGATGGCCAAGGCGAACGCGCTTCATGGAAGTTCAAGCCCTTTGGACCCTCTCCTTGCCTCCTTGATCACGAGCACAAGCTCCCACGAGCTCTCCAAGAAAATCAACGCGCTGTTCCAGGTACATATTGCTTTCAATCTCCACTTCCTTCTGCTCCTGCTCCTGCTCCTGCTCCTGCTCCTGCTCTTCCTCTCTCCTCTCTCCTCTCTTCTCCTGCTCCTGCTGCTGCTCCTCTCTCCTCTGTCCTCTCTCCTCTCTCCTCTCTCCTCCTGCTCCTGCTTCCGCTCCCGCTCCTGCTTCTGCGAATGACAGCCTCGTGTTTACTCTCAGATCATGGACTCGGATGATTCGGGCAGCATATCGCTCACTGAGCTGAAGGAAGGTTTTCGAAAACTCCCTTGGGCTCAGGACGTGGACTTCACGCAAGAGTCCTTCTCCTCCATCTTTCAGAACGAAGATTTAAGTGAAGGCATTGATCACATTGTGAGCGAACACTCCCCGTGATTGGATGTCGCTTTCACTTGCTCCTGCTCCTGCTCCTGCTCCTGCTCCTGCTCCTGCTCCTGCTTCCTGACCTTTTGCCCGAATCCCTCGTTTCTTCTTGAGTTGATCTGTTGTCCCCTTTGCTGACTGGCTCCTTGCAAGGACCTGGTCTACTTCGATCGCATCATCAGGTCCCAGCTCAAGTCCTACGTGCAGCGCATGCTGGACAAGGAGATCCAGCACGGGTGCGCGAGCGTCGACTCAGTCTCGATGCTGGCGATGAAGCTGATGCTCATCGAGATGGAGAACTCTGCCCTCGAGTTCCGCAAGAGCCAGAAGAACACCTCCCTCAGCCTCGAAGACTCAAAGACTGCAGACCACGAGGCCCTGGCAGAGCAGAAGCTACTCAAGCTCCCGACCTTCCTCATGCATCGGAGCCGAGCCGGCAAGGGCTCCGACTGGCGGGACTCCTTCCTCCCTCCGCGCAAGGAGCTGCTCCCGAACAGGGGGAGCTACTTTCGGAGCAAGAAGTCTTGCGCGCAGTGCGACGAGATGATGTCGGCGATCCGAGACATCCAGGCGTCTCTCGCCCTCCTCACCCGGGGCATCGACAGGAGGTCCACCAACGGCCATGCCCACCCGCCGGCAGCCAGGGAGGAGGAGAGCAGCTCGGGAGGTTTCTCACTCCTCGAAGAGCTCACGACCATGGGGAAGAGGAGCAACGGAATCCCGTCGGCCCTGCTCGAGGGCCTCGGCCTGACCCCCCCAGTGAAGCGGGAGCGGCCTCTTGCTCGCAGCACCCGTGACCGGATGTTGCCTAGGAAGGAGGAGGTGGACCGAACGATGTATGACAGGAGCAAGTTGAACAACTTGTACCAAACGAGGTCACAAGGTCGCTCTTGAAGCTCAAAGCATGTATGTACTAAGTGAATATAGTAATGTTTGAGAAGCGGAAGACTGCTTACCCTCCCCTCGTCCTCCCATAACTCCCAATTCTCCCCTCCCCTCCCCTCTCCTCCTTCCCTCTGCCTCCTCCTACCTTCTCTGTCCTCTGCTCTCATTCTCCTGCCCTTGTCTATGTACATGGAAAACATAATCATCGCAGGATCCCCGCTGGCAAAGAGCTCGCCAGAAGGGCCCTTAAGAGTACTGATACGCCACGTTCCCGTCCCTCATCAGCAGCGATACTGACGAGTTCCCTGTCCCGAGGTCCATGCTGATCCTGAAATTCCTCCTCCTCAAGTAGACCACGAGGATTCCGCATATGGGCACGATCGCCAGGAGGAACATCATCTCAGTGATCATGGGTGCCGCAAACTGCTCGATGGCTACCCCGTCCTCCGTCGTTGACTCGTCCGGCGCGTACGGCAGGTGCACGAGGCTTTCGTGGTACGCGTCCCTCGCGTCTTGCCTCTCTTGCTCCTCCTCACTCCTCGCGTCATTGTCCGGCTGACCGCTCAGTCCCTCTGCTCTACCTCCAGGCACAAACGCCTTCTTCCCCTCCACCAGTAGCGCCTCCTCCCCCCGGCCCGCGCGCTTGTCAGCCTCCACCTTTCCGTTCAGGTCTCGAGGAATCTCTGCCCCATCCTCGTTCTCCTCCCACCAGAAATCGCAGGACATTGAAGTTCCTGCGCGCTCATTGTCACTTCCCCCCCTTCCCTCCTCACCCTCTACATGCCTGGCCGCCCGACGATCTGATCTTGACCCTGGCAAACATGCTTGCCATCCGCACTCGTCCACTTCCACGTTTGAGTCCCTTCAGTCCACCGCACGTCACTGACTCATCTACATGCCAAGGCGCGCACACCTTTCAGCATGACGTTGGAGACGGTGTACTCCTCCTCCACAACGTGCATCTGGCCGTCGAAGGACGCGAAGTCGTACTGGGGGGTCACAGCCTTTGCTGTTTTGCCCTCCAGGTCGATCATGACAGCCAGCTGTGCTCAGGTCAGAGCTCTTGTTCCGTCGGCAGGACTTCAGACTCACTTTCTGCTCCTCAGGTCGCTTCTCGTGTGTGTCGAGTTCTGTCACGCGTCAAACCTCTCAACAGCTGCAACCTGCTCTTACTGGCACACTTCCACAGGAAGTAGTAGAGGCAGCTGTTGGACCCCGGGCTGATACCAGAGCAGATTCAATCAAGACAGAACAACACAGCAGAGGCAAGCTCTTCGAAGCGAACAAGTGAGGGAGTGTGAAGCACTTGGGCTGGACAAGATAGGAAACAACCTGCAATCAACGTCTCTCTGTGCTTCCGAGACCATGACGGTCTTCCGGACGTCCCCCACCTCGATCTCGAGCCAGTCGACGTCACAGCTGCAGGCGTATCATGATCAGTGCCGCATGTTCCCTCTCGCGTCTTGCTATCACCCCTCCCCTTCCGCTCGCACAGTGCTCGAAGTAATGTACCAGGTACCCTGCAGCCTCATGTCAGCCTAGCAAACCCGGCGAGTTCCAAGATCAAGCATAGAAAGAGAGAGGGGGTGGGTAGGGGGTTAGAGGGAGGAGCTACAGCGAGCTACAGTGGGCAGGAGGGCAATGGCGGTAGAGACGCTCAGAGGAAGGGTGAGACGAGGAGTCTGCGATGGACGCAGGCAGGTGGGTTCATCGTGGGGAGGAATGCGCGAGCATAGCGGGTCAGCGAGAGGAGGAGGAGAGACAGGACATGGAAGGCGCACCTGACCAGGAGGAAGGTACTGGGCCCCACCAGCGACTGCTGCCAGCGCCAGCAGCATCAACCTCGCCAAGGCCCCCCCTGCCATCTTCACGCCATCCGATCGCTGTCACTGCTGCTTCGATGATGACGTGAGTGAAATATCCAGTTACCCTCTTTGATTACTTCCCCGCCGAAGGCCGCTTGACTATAGATTTTACTTAAAGTTAGGTTAAAATCAGTACGAGGACAATCAGGAGAGTGCCAGGAGGCTATGATGCCAGCGCCGGCCACTGACATGACGGCCCGGCAGCGGGCTACGGGTTGCGAGTTGACTCGATTAGTCCAGTGGCAACTAGAACTATTAACTTCATTAAGAATACTTGTCGATGACGATCGATTACGGTTACATTCACTTCAGTTCAATCATTGATTCACTTGAGGCGTCACACCTGGCTGTGATTTGAGCTCAAGGCTGAGACCTTGTCCGATAGCACAACCGCCTGATCGCTTCATCTATTCCCACCAGCGCATTGAGCACTGCCAAAGAGTCAGCCCAGTCAGCCTCCGGCCCGATGCCGGACGGTTTGACACGCACCAGAAGTTTGGAGGGAGACAGTCTTCGAGGGATACTTTGGATTGAGAGGGAAGTCAAGGTTGATCCTGATAAGGTCTGATAATCCAGCATGTCAGGAGCTCTGCCTCGCAAGGTGGAGGAGCAGAAGTCACCGGCACCGCTGGCAACAAGTTTGTTCGAGTTCAACCTCACTGTCGGAACTCTCTTGCCGCACCCGCCCTGAGCAGCAGGACATTAGCAGGCATCTCGTTGTGCTCAATCAGTTTGGCCTGACCTCAAGGATCACTACTTTCTTCCCCAGCTTCATGTTAGCCTGCAGCGTATGCGATCAATCTAACTCAACATCTATGTTCATCAGCTCACCACAGCTCGCTTGACCCACGTCTTGTAGTTTGATTCATCTGTTTCGATCTGTGAGATCGTCAGTCAGGGCTCAGCTGAAAGCGCAACTTAATTCACCCATCTGTCATCGTCAAACATGAGGACATTTGGTCTTGCTAACCCATCGCACACTTGACACCTCAACTCTTCATCGAAACATTTGCGATTTGATGCCTCATCACCGAATCGCACCAGCCTGATAGGATCATATACGCGTTTAGCATTGAGGGCTCTGAGGTGAACTGATGAACCTGTTCAAGCTCTGGTTCTGTGTGTATGGCGTCAAACCTCGAAAGTCCATCTTGCGGTTGCTTGGTTCCTCGATCTCTAAAACTTTCCCATGCCTATATATAAGATCTTTGCCCTCTTCTTCCCCTTTCTGTCCTTCAGCGTTCCGGAATCGTTGGGTTCGACGGGTGTCCTTGTCAACTTGAAACCTGAAAGTGGATCAGAAACGCATCCTCCTCAAGCCTTCATGCACCGGTAATCGTCAGGGAGCGACCAGACCTTCTGGCAGCAAGGGATCCTGCACTGCCATTTCATCACGTCTCCGTGTATTTCATAGATCAAGGCAGGGTCTACTCCGGCTCTCTGTTACACAGCCTTCTCTCAGATATCGTGTAAGGCCATCAGCAGCTCCTCACCTGGAAGGCTGTGTCCACGTTTGAAGTGTACACGAAGAAGTCTGGTTCCTTCAGTTTGGTCATTTCGAGCTTCTTGCGAATCATAGACGTGGACTTGGGCCTGTTCTTGAAGGAGTATTGGTCTTACATGAATGTCAGACCCGGCCCGATCCCTTAGATCCGCACTACCTCTTGATGCGGGCACTACGGCCGAAGTGGGCCGAGCTGTGTAGGGTAGACCTCTCAATGACGGCTTGCAAGGTTGTAGGATGTCAGCGTTCTGCTGCGTAGTGCTGCTCCCACCCCACCCCACTCCTGGACCAGAGCCTCCCTCCCTCCCTTTGAATCCACAGTCAATCCACTCCTTGACGATCTCGTAGCCCTTGTGAGGTGTAGTTCCAAGGTAGTCGTTGTAGCACGAGCCCCAGAACCCATAGAAGATCTCCGGATCTTTCAGCAGCCAGTCTGGGACGCAAAGATCAGCGTACGTCACGTCCATCTTCTTGTACGCGTCAACATCCGCAATGTCCTTGTAGACTGGCAAACCAGAGTCGGCTGAGAAGCCTGCTCCCGCTGCAATGAGCACGTAGTCTGCAGACAAGAGTAGCTCTGCTGCTCGCACAAAAGCATCTTCCAAAGTCTTCATCACTGGGTCAGGGTCTGAAAGTTTTATGGCCCTCAGGCGCAGCCTCAAGTCCTCCTTCTTTCGATTTAGGGGAGGCCTCCTCTTCTTCTGGTCGATTCTTTGCTGCAGGTCTGGCATGGTGGCTACCGAAAGCAACCAGACGAGTTCAAGACAAGAAGTTCAACACAACTCAGGAGGAGCTGCAGTACGAGAGGAGTGAGGGGAGACAGAGAGTAGAACTTGAAAACAGACAGACAGCAAACTCAGAGCCCGAGAGTGCACGTCAGAGGTAGAGGCTAGTGGATGGCGGCAGGTCAGATGGGAAGGGAGAGGAAGGGAGGAGGGTGATGGTGCTGACAACAGCAGCACAGCATGTGTGCGCAATGCTGGGCTTCAACGGTTTCTGGGATCTCAGCGATTCAATTCGATTTAACCGATCTGACAAGGGCAACCAAGGAGACCATCTCAGTGAGGTCGGTGCCGGTGCCGGTGCCGGGCCCGGTGCCACGCCCCCAAAAATGAAATGGTATCACCGGGCCATCCCGCTCTCCTCTAGGGGTCACAGCTACACCATTCCAGCTCGGGGTAGGGTAAGGTGAACAGTACAAAAAATGCTGGCCTTGTTGAGTGGGTCCTTGAATAGAAAATCACAGGGTGGTACCATGAGGGGTGGAAATGTACTACCGTAGGCAAAACAACCAAAATGTTAAAAAGGGGGTAGGGGTGATGTCATCATTGGCGTGATATGAGGGTATGGGTAGCTTGAAAGGGGCAGGTTAAATAAAAGAGGGGGGAATAGGGGTTCTGATGTAGACGGGGTGGGGGTTGAATACTACCCTTGCATATTCGATCATACTTGTGTTTATTCAGGGGGTCAGTTTTCCAAATGTATGGTGAGGGACCATGGGGTAGGGTCCTTTACGTCAAGGAGCAAGATAAAACTCATTTTGGGAGAAGCGATGCTCAGTAGGATGCGAAGAGGGTGGGGTACATTAAAGGTGGGGGTGGTGTGAACTTGTCATGATCTAATAAGGTGGGGTATGTATCCTGATTTGGGGGGGGGAGGGGGTACTCATCTCTTGTGGGTGGGTATATTCAATCAGGTGCAAGGGGTAGAAGGATAGGGACACCAACTGATGCGGCCTGAGGCCGAGAGGAGAATGGCGAAGGGGTGAAGGGGCAGGGTTTAGGGGGGATGGAACAGCGAAGAATCAAGCGAGACAAGAAAGAAGATGAAGCTCTCTTTAAGACGCATCAAAGAAATGTCAGCTTATTGCTTGGATAAAGTGAGGGAGAAATTTGAGAGAGTCTGATTCGAGGGTTTAGATGGCAATAAGCCATCGAATGTTTGAAACCCGTATGCTGTTAGAACTCTACCCCAAAAAAATAGCAAAGGGTTGATATTTAGAAGCAGAAAAGAAAAGGTTGTAAAGAAAACATCCAGAGGTAGCAAGACAGATGGGATGGACGAGAAAAAGTTTGTAGAGGGTTCTGCTTCAAGCAGGTTGACTGGAATGTTGTTTTTGATAAGACAGGGGAATAAGAAGTTTAGAAAGGGATTACGAAAATGATTGGCTGGTGATGTCATCATAAGCTACAGGGGAATCCTGCTTTCGACCATTGCTATTGAGCATTGATAGTCATATGCCTTCAATCCTATGGAGACTAAATTTCATCGTCATCTTTGTCAAACCAACCATCTTTTTCGTACAAGGTTCTGACATTTTGATTAACAGAACTACCTTAAGAAAACTTTGCATAATAGACTGATAGCAGTCATTCAAAAACAGTGACCAGTATGCCGTCGGAATTGCAAAGGACGACTTCTCCAGAATTAGAATCGAAATCTTCCTTTGATTTCCGTGGAATCTCAGAGCAACCCAAGCCGATGCTCAGACGGCTGAAATCTGTACCAACCAGGATGATGATATCAGATCAAGACCAAAGTAAGCCTCTCACCACTAAAGAAAGACTCCAGCAGGCCCTCAAGAAGGCGATGAACCTCGATGTAATCAAGTCTCGCTTTGAGGAGGTGAACGTTCAAATCAACCAAACAAGAACCTGTGCCGCTGGCGTCCTCAAGACGCTTGGCAGCGAGTCAGATACAGATCCATCACAGTTCAACGATGACTCAGAAGAAAAGGAGAGGAATAATCAGGCCGAAGAGAACGAAGATGACAGTGACCAAGATTCTTTGGAACGCAAAGGAAATTTCTTCAAACCACAGAAGATAATCCTTGGGAACAAGGAGAAAAATGCTCCGTGGAACTCACAGAACAACTCCCACGGGAATGTTATTGGCCCAGGAGCCAACTCACATTCCCCCTTCAAAGCCTCGTCAAGTTCCAAGAAACCTGCATCGCTAGATGATCTCCTGAGCCCCACACCGCATATTCGATACCTCCCTGGCATTGGAAGAATTTGGGTTCGCACTTGTCAAGGAGTAGCAGTGAAAGTGAAATCTCCAGAGGAAGGACACGAAAAGAGACACTTGTAAGTCAACACGTTGTCACAAATAATGTCCACCATTGTCTAACTGTATAGAAGCAGCATAGTGAGAAAAGCTAATCGTATATTAAAAGAACACTAATAAATCCCAAATGGAATGATTCCCCCCAATCAGATCCTACTTGCCCCTCTTTGCCATCAACTTGTCCACAGATCTTTCGATTTCTCTGTCCAATGCATCCTTTCCCCTCCCTTTCACCTTACGCTTCTTGTCGGGAACCGAAGACTTCCTCTGATCTGAAGCCCCATCCTTGGCTACAACCCTGGCCAACTGCACATGAGACGATAGCGGAGCTTTCAAGCTGTTCGATGTTCGCGTTGAGAACGACGATGAGTAACGGGACATCCCAGGAGGGTACTGAGCCTCGATCTGGAGCTCTCTCCTTGCGAGAAGCAGAGCATCCATCCAGTTAGGAAGCATCTGCTGGAAATCGTAGCCCATGAACAAGATCCTGCCGCTCTTTGCTGGGATCTCGAACACAATCGAGACCTCATCAGCGGACATGTAGTAATGGATCGTCTCAGGCGGCAGCTGATTCACAGGAATGCCCCAGGTGCTGTCAGAACCCTCCAGGTACTTGGGACCATAAAAGAACTCCGTTGATATCGCCGAGTTCTGCATATAGAATGGTCCCCCCGACCAGACGCAGTCAATGTCAAACTTGGGACTGAAGTTCACCATGTCCGACCCGGCGGAGTCGACGTAGCCGTACCCATCAGATCCCTCTAGATTCTGAGAGATGAAGTCGGCTCCCGTCAGCCCTCCGAGAATCAGCAGAGAACCCCCAAGCCCATAAACGGCTGTGTTGAGCATGTTGAGCTCGGCGTTGGCAAGGCGGGGGAAGAAGCAGGGAGGGACAACCATGACAACATCCTTGGATTTCTGCATGAAAAGTCCCACTTGCGCTCCAATCCACGAATACTCCTGATAGATAGCTGCCTGCACGGCTGGGTCAGATTTCCACCATTCATCCATCTTCAATATCTGGCGGATGTTGTAGTTAGCCGGTGAGTTGTCACATCGTGGGTCCACGGAGAACATGTAGGTCTTCTTCTCAGGGCTGCATGTCGGGCATCCAGTCTTGCCGATGTAGGGGTCATACCGAGGATGCATGAGGGACGGCATCAGCGCAGCATTGTCCCAGTTGGCTGTCGAATAATAGTCGGGCCCCGGCTCCCAGCCCGGTGCTCCATAGCCTGTCTGAGCTTCCCTAGGGGAGACAGCAACTCCGTAGGGCAAGTTGCTTCCTTCCCAACGCGAGGAGGGACCAGCGTCGTTGCCCAAACGACCAGATAGAACATTCCTCCCATCACCACCGGGTCCAGCGATCAAAGTGACCACAACGACAAGGAGGGCAGCTGCAGCTGCTGTCCCTGCTGCTATAGTCGTTGCCTTCCTCGTGCTCCTCCTCCCTCCCATCATGCTGTCCCGCGCGTCGCTTCCATAACTTCGCCCCCCTCCACCCATCGCGTCCCTTCGCGCTTTCAACTTTGTTACAGGTCTGATACGTGAGTCAGAATACCCCCACCCCGATATTTAAAGTAGTTGAAGGGGTGGATATCACTTTTCAATGCACCCCACCTGTTGCGTTATTTCGATATTAATATTGTAGGGTGGGGTGCTCCGTCCCGGCTGAGGCCGGGGTCTTGAATGATGCTCCTCCGTCATGGCGCCAGGGCGCGCGAGGCAGCGATGCGAGCAAGCAGCACAGCGAGGAAGATGAGTCTGATCGGCTTGTTGCCAGCTGAAGGACCTCGACGATCTCTCGTGACTTCGACATCTTCTCCGCAGCGTCCTGTCTATGTTGCCAGCCATGGCGTGGTGCCCGTCACGAGGAACGCCGGTGCGAAAATCGCCGACATGGGGAAGCAGGCCATTGATGATGCACTGAAAGCATCTGTATTGAACAAAGAATCAATCACAGCCATGTATGTTGGTAACATGCTCTCAGGAATTCTTTCGAATCAGCAGCATGTTAGTCCTTTGATAGCAACTGCTGCCGGCCTCAACGGCATCGAAACTTCAACGATCGAAGCGTGCTGTGGATCAGGAGGAGCAGCTTTACGCTGGGGTTACATGGCAATAGCCTCGGGAATGCATGAAAACGTGCTCGTGCTCGGCGTAGAGCAGATGACTCACTGCGACCGTGACTCTGTCACAAAGGGACTGGCCACTGCGTCACACTGGGAGAAGGAAGGTGCTGTAGGAGAGACTTTCGTGTCCCTCAATGGCAAGTTGATGTCAATGTACATGAAGAAGTATGGCATCGGCAGGGAGAGGTTTGCTCCTTTTTCGCTGAATGCACACAAGAACGCTCTGACCAGTTCTCACTCCACCCTCAAGAAGAACGTTTCCGTCGAAGACTACACCAAGTCCAACGTCGTCAAGGAACCGGTGACCATCATGGATGCTTCGCCGACATGCGATGGAGCTGCAGCAGTTCTGCTAACGTCAAACAAGGAGATCGCAAAGGACAAGGCGGGACGAGTTGTTCGACTTGCTGGCAGTGGCGCCTCGTCCGATATCCTCGCGGTGGATGATCGTCCAGACCCTCTTGCGCTCGTGGCGGTGGAGAAGTCACTCGAGGAGGCGCTTCGTAGGAGTGGTCTGGATAGAAACTCAGTCGACATCTTCGAGCTCCACGATGCCTACACCATCATGGCCTGCCTTTGTCTGGAAAGCGCAGGTTTCGCCTCTCCAGGGGAGGGTACATTTTTTGCGGCGGATGGACACATTGGCTTGAAGGGCGTGCTTCCCATCTCAACGTTCGGTGGATTGAAGGCGAGAGGACATCCCGTGGGGGCTACGGGAGTCTACCAGGCGGCCGAGATGAATATGCAGCTCAGGGAAGTGGCGGGCGAAAACCAAGTGAAGGGAGCACGAGTTGCGGTCACTCAGAACATCGGAGGGGCTGGAGCGTCTGTTTACACCCATGTATTTATTCAAGAATAATTTTACAACCCAGAGATCTGCAACTTCTCTCGTCCTACTTCGTTGTCTCGGATTTCACGTTGGCAGCGGCGGCCTCGACTTCCTCAGCCTTGTCTCTCAAGGCAGCATCTGACATGGGCCTGACCTCTCCTTCTCCTTCATACGGTGCAGGCATCCCAAACTTGAAAGTCGGGCCGAAGTTGAAAGTTACTTGCCCTCCCATGTAGACGGATGCAGCGGGATAGTAGATACCCTGCTCTACGTCCTCGAACGCGCTTCCACATGCTTTGCCGTTAACAAAGAAGCGGATCACGCTGCCTCGGCAGATTTCTGACCCAACATCCGTGTCTTCCTCCTGCATACATCATTTAGAGGCAGGCTTCCACATAGCAGAATACTCACCAAGAAATATTCGATTTCGGTGTCTCTCCAGGTAAGTCTATCTTTGACCTTGCACTTGGATTTCCCTTTCCTCACCTCTTGTTTGGTTTCTCCATCGGCAGCGTTCTCACACTTGGGCTTCTGGCCCTCCTCTTGCCCTTCCTGCGGCGGGTCCTGAGTTTCCTTAGCTTGTGTAGAGGTCTTGCAGTCATCTTCCTCGAGTGCGGCTTTCTCCACGGCAGGGAAGTGGATGTAGCATCCCACAACGTCTCCTTTCTGGAGCGGACATGAAAACTCTTTCAACCGCCTGGTGTGCACAATGTTGCCAGTACGGGAGCAAATGCCGTAGCCGAACCGGTCATAGCCCAGAGGGGCCTGGATCTGAGCACTGCCGCGTGCCCATCCAAGTCTACTGTGGCCTTCAATGTTGAGGAACCTGGAGAAATTCATTCCAAGTCAGGTTCACAACAAGGGCAACAACAACTTACTTCTCTTCTAGAAACGTGTTCACGTGATCCTCTCTGATTGTGACCTCAAAGTACCACGATCCTGCACTGACCCCGTGGCTCGCCCGGATCAAGCGGTAACCCTTGTGCCCCGAGACTGTCAGGTTCTCATCCACCAGCCTCAGTTGCGGAGCCCGATCATACGGGGAGAGAGTCACCCCTCGCGGGTCAGGGATGACTGGGGTGAATCTCCACTGGGGGATGTTGAATGGTTGCAGGATGGAGGGGTCCTTCTCGATCAACGCTTCCATTCTTTGCTTCTTTGAAACCTTGGCTCCATTGGAGCTTGCTGATCGTTTCCCGTTGCCGGCATTCTTGGACGGGGCGGGGACGATGTTTTCCTTGTTGCATTCCGGATCACTTACAGCTTCGAGATTGTCTTTCTTAGGAGTGACAATCTCATCCTCAGGGTAATGCAATTCAGGTACCACGGCCACCTGCAAAATGATAGTGAGGATCGAGAAAGCAATTCGTTGGCACATCGAGCTGGAGTAATTCAAACAGTGTAGGACGAGGAGAACAGATATGGTTGCTTCTTGACGGTGACATGCCTATGCTACATTCTTGATGAGGAGTATGCCTCCTCCTCGCTCCTCGCGCTGGGCAGATGCCTCTTGTTGCTCACCTCCGGCATCGTTGATGAAGGAGTAGTGGCGTGATGGCGGGAAGTTCGAATACATTTTGACCAAAACAATTATTATAGACTATGGGTACAAAAATAAATTGATTTACGATTTTCATGGTACAGATGTGTCTAAGGAATAAGATTAGAAGATCGCTAGCTTTTGTATATTTAAACAATATATTTCCCTTTCAAACTATGGATTTTAATAATAAAATACGTAATTACAGAGACCAATAAACTTTTAATCCAGCCACGATCGTCTAAAACTCGAGGGCCAAGGAAACCGGGCAAACAATGGGTAGGGGTCAACTACCCCAAAGGAGTATCTGGGGTACTAGGCAGTCAATCAGAGGGTTACGAGTATGAAGGGGTACAACTTCAGAGTGGGTAGGAGGCAAACACCACAAAATTTTTCACCGTAAGGGAGATCCTGGGACCAGGAACCCAACCCTTCTTGATCCATGGCAGACTGAGAGAGCATCTGAAACTAACGAGCCTTTCTCTACAAGCTCTTGGTCGAGAGTAAGCAAGTCCCCACGAGACTGACATCTCTAGTCTCAGAGGGTTAGTCTAGCTCGTTTTGACAAAACGAGCTAGACCGTGTACCTTGTGTGCTCTGAGGTCTCCGGATTAGCGGAAGTGTGGTCATTTATGATACGAAAGTAAAGCAGCTTTTCGTATGAGACGTATTTGCTTGGAAGGGTGCTGGTCTCATCATTATACTTGCTTTGGTAGTGTATTCTTTTCGCCTGTTATTGCATAGAGCAGACATGTAACAAGCATGCACCTTACAAACACCATAGCGATGTATGAAAAGATCAAGTAAGGCCAGCCCCCAGACGCGATCAAGCATAGCGTAACAGTCGCTGAAAACGGTGAGAAGTCCAGTTTGAGAACGGGAGAAGCTTGATTCGAAGAATGAAACGAGAGCGAAGTTTTCTCATCACAACACTGTTTTGAATATTCTAAACCCTAACGATAGATTGACATGAATCTATATTGTGATGTTGATATATCCACCAATAACTGAATTGCTTTTCCTTTTGCACAGCTAAAAAACTCGAAAGCCTACAAAAGGAGTCCAGGGTCCCTGCTGTTCACGCCGTCCCTGACATGCCTTATACAACACGCCCGAGCCAACAAGACAGACTGCCCGTGCAGACCGTCTCCATCATGCCTCCTCCTATGCTACGACCAGTAGCGATGCCCTGCCCCCCTGCCCCAGCGCCCTCCGCAGCACCCTGCTGCCCTCCGCCGACCAGCTACTCCGACGCCCTTGCGACCTTGGATCGCTGCGCTGCGCTCGCCAGGCCGATATCTGACACCTCAGCAGCCGTGCTCGACATCACCGACCCCGCGAGCTTCAGAGACTTCCTTGCTGGCAGAGACGGGGATGCCGCGCCCGCCGCGCCCGCCGCCTACCCGGCCTTGATCGACACCAGGAAGCCTATCCTCAAGAAGCGCCCGCTTGTCGACGGCTACACTGCTCCCTCCGTAGACGCACCGGTCAAGAGGCAGCGAGGAGAGGGCGAGAGGGCGTTGGAGCGGAGGAGGAAGAAGATCGTGTGGAAGCTTGGGTCGCTGCTCAAGGTCTCCAAGAAGGTTCACAGCAGGGTCGACGACATCCGGCCCGTCTGCGTGTACTACCAGTGCATCTGGGACTGCGCCAAGAAGGTGTGCGACTCGGCTGGGATCCAGATGAGCCGCGAGCTTGAGCAGCTGGAGCCCAGGGCCTGCGAGGGCTATCGACAAGGGAATGCAGCCACGGCGGAGCAGCGAGCGGAGCTTCTCCGGCGAGTCGGGAGGGCGGCGGAGCTTGCGGCCAGCATCTCGAGCGAGCAGGAGAGGCCTGGGATCAGAGACAAGTTTATGATGTATGCATGGGACGCCATCTGCCCGAAGAGGCTGAAGCTGAGGGACTGCAGGAGCCGGCAGAAGCTGGCGGACTACATCACCTACTGCAACGTGCTCTACACCTGCCTGCTGCCGTGCGAAGGAGAGCTGGGCGTGCAGGTCCCTCTGCCCCCTGGGCTGCCGGAGGCGATGAAGGGCGAGGACGTGAGGAGGCTCAACGAGTACGCGTTCAAGGTGTGGCGTCTGTGCCAGTCAATGCGGCCCCCGGAGGACATGGGGAGGCGGTCGCTGAGAGGCTGAGAGGGAGGGAGGGCATCTTGTTATGCGCCCGAGGAGGAGGTGAGCCTCCGAGGGCCTGGCCGTCAGTCCAAGGCAGAGGCGCTAGGTCTCCAGTGTCTCCGAGACGATCTTGCATTGACGCCTGTACGTGAACGACCTCTTGAAGCCTCTGCGTCGGCGTGTACGAGCATGTCTGTGCTGAGCGACACGTCAACGATCTCTCGGCTGAGAGCAAGCAAGTCCCCACCAGGCTGCCATGTCTAGGACAAAGCGAGCTAGACCGCGTCTTTGTGTGCTCCGAGGTCTCTGGAGAAGCGGAATGATCTGATCCCCTATGATAAAACAGTAAAGCAGCCTCTAGTATGAGACTACTTTGGGGTGCTGTTGGTCTCCGATCACAGCTAGCTGCTGCTGACGCACTTTGCGATGGAGCGTTGCACTTGCGCAGGACTGCTTCTGCTTCTGCGCATGCTCTTACCGTCCGCTTATGGTCGCACACGGATGAGCTTTGCACCTGCAGTGGACCTAGACATGTAGACTTGAGATGAGCATAGGCTTTCGGCAGTTGCAGTTGATGCGCTGTTGCTGTCTGTTGCTGTCTGTTGCTGTACACTTGCTCTTGCTTTCCGTGCCTCATCGGATGCTCCTGCCGTCTTGCTTCCTTTACTCCTCTCCCGGTTGCCCTCGTTTGCTCCTCCTGCTCCCGTCGAGCTTGTGCGAGTTTGTGGGTGGCACCACGAACTCCGATCCTAGTGACTACGGGGTAGGGGGAAGCAAGAGTCAAGGAGAGGGTAGGGTAGATGAAGCTGTACCCGTCCAGATATGATGGACATCATGGTTCAGAGAGGGTACTAGCCCTCAAGCGCGATCGAGCATAGGGGTACGGAGACCGAGAGGGGGTAGGGGGTAGAGGTAGGTGGTAGGGGGAGGGACTCGAAAGCCTACAAAAGGAGTCCAGGGTCCCTGCTGTTGACGCCGTCCCTGACATGCCTTATACAACACGCCCGAGCCAACAAGACAGACTGCCCGTGCAGACCGTCTCCATCATGCCTCCTCCTATGCTACGACCAGTAGCGATGCCCTGCCCCCCTGCCCCAGCGCCCTCCGCAGCACCCTGCTGCCCTCCGCCGACCAGCTACTCCGACGCCCTTGCGACTTTGGATCGCTGCGCTGCGCTCGCCAGGCCGATATCTGACACCTCAGCAGCCGTGCTCGACATCACCGACCCCGCGAGCTTCAGAGACTTCCTTGCTGGCAGAGACGGGGATGCCGCGCCCGCCGCGCCCGCCGCCTACCCGGCCTTGATCGACACCAGGAAGCCTATCCTCAAGAAGCGCCCGCTTGTCGACGGCTACACTGCTCCCTCCGTAGACGCACCGGTCAAGAGGCAGCGAGGAGAGGGCGAGAGGGCGTTGGAGCGGAGGAGGAAGAAGATCGTGTGGAAGCTTGGGTCGCTGCTCAAGGTCTCCAAGAAGGTTCACAGCAGGGTCGACGACATCCGGCCCGTCTGCGTGTACTACCAGTGCATCTGGGACTGCGCCAAGAAGGTGTGCGACTCGGCTGGGATCCAGATGAGCCGCGAGCTTGAGCAGCTTGAGCCCAGGGCCTGCGAGGGCTATCGACAAGGGAATGCAGCCACGGCGGAGCAGCGAGCGGAGCTTCTCCGGCGAGTCGGGAGGGCGGCGGAGCTTGCGGCCAGCATCTCGAGCGAGCAGGAGAGGCCTGGGATCAGAGACAAGTTTATGATGTATGCATGGGACGCCATCTGCCCGAAGAGGCTGAAGCTGAGGGACTGCAGGAGCCGGCAGAAGCTGGCGGACTACATCACCTACTGCAACGTGCTCTACACCTGCCTGCTGCCGTGCGAAGGAGAGCTGGGCGTGCAGGTCCCTCTGCCCCCTGGGCTGCCGGAGGCGATGAAGGGCGAGGACGTGAGGAGGCTCAACGAGTACGCGTTCAAGGTGTGGCGTCTGTGCCAGTCAATGCGGCCCCCGGAGGACATGGGGAGGCGGTCGCTGAGAGGCTGAGAGGGAGGGAGGGCATCTTGTTATGCGCCCGAGGAGGAGGTGAGCCTCCGAGGGCCTGGCCGTCAGTCCAAGGCAGAGGCGCTAGGTCTCCAGTGTCTCCGAGACGATCTTGCATTGACGCCTGTACGTGAACGACCTCTTGAAGCCTCTGCGTCGGCGTGTACGAGCATGTCTGTGCCGAGCGACACGTCAACGATCTCTCGGCTGAGAGCAAGCAAGTCCCCACCAGGCTGCCATGTCTAGGACAAAGCGAGCTAGACCGCGTCTTTGTGTGCTCCGAGGTCTCTGGAGAAGCGGAATGATCTGATCCCCTATGATAAAACAGTAAAGCAGCCTCTAGTATGAGACTACTTTGGGGTGCTGTTGGTCTCCGATCACAGCTAGCTGCTGCTGACGCACTTTGCGATGGAGCGTTGCACTTGCGCAGGACTGCTTCTGCTTCTGCGCATGCTCTTACCGTCCGCTTATGGTCGCACACGGATGAGCTTTGCACCTGCAGTGGACCTAGACATGTAGACTTGAGATGAGCATAGGCTTTCGGCAGTTGCAGTTGATGCGCTGTTGCTGTCTGTTGCTGTACGCTTGCTCTTGCTTTCCGTGCCTCATCGGATGCTCCTGCCGTCTTGCTTCCTTTACTCCTCTCCCGGTTGCCCTCGTTTGCTCCTCCTGCTCCCGTCGAGCTTGTGCGAGTTTGTGGGTGGGCAACCACGAACTCCGATCCTAGTGACTACGGGGTAGGGGGAAGCAAGAGTCAAGAAGAGGGTAGGGTAGATGAAGCTGTACCCGTCCAGATATGATGGACATCATGGTTCAGAGAGGGTACTAGCCCTCAAGCGCGATCGAGCATAGGGGTACGGAGACCGAGAGGGGGTAGGGTAGAGGTAGGGGGTAGGGGGAGGGACTCGAAAGCCTACAAAAGGAGTCCAGGGTCCCTGCTGTTCACGCCGTCCCTGACATGCCGCATACAACACGCCCGAGCCAACAAGACAGACTGCCCGTGCAGACCGTCTCCATCATGCCTCCTCCTATGCTACGACCAGTAGCGATGCCCTGCCCCCCTGCCCCAGCGCCCTCCGCAGCACCCTGCTGCCCTCCGCCGACCAGCTACTCCGACGCCCTTGCGACCTTGGATCGCTGCGCTGCGCTCGCCAGGCCGATATCTGACACCTCAGCAGCCGTGCTCGACATCACCGACCCCGCGAGCTTCAGAGACTTCCTTGCTGGCAGAGACGGGGATGCCGCGCCCGCCGCGCCCGCCGCCTACCCGGCCTTGATCGACACCAGGAAGCCTATCCTCAAGAAGCGCCCGCTTGTCGACGGCTACACTGCTCCCTCCGTAGACGCACCGGTCAAGAGGCAGCGAAGAGAGGGCGAGAGGGCGTTGGAGCGGAGGAGGAAGAAGATCGTGTGGAAGCTTGGGTCGCTGCTCAAGGTCTCCAAGAAGGTTTACAGCAGGGTCGACGACATCCGGCCCGTCTGCGTGTACTACCAGTGCATCTGGGACTGCGCCAAGAAGGTGTGCGACTCGGCTGGGATCCAGATGAGCCGCGAGCTTGAGCAGCTTGAGCCCAGGGCCTGCGAGGGCTATCGACAAGGGAATGCAGCCACGGCGGAGCAGCGAGCGGAGCTTCTCCGGCGAGTCGGGAGGGCGGCGGAGCTTGTGGCCAGCATCTCGAGCGAGCAGGAGAGGCCTGGGATCAGAGACAAGTTTATGATGTATGCATGGGACGCCATCTGCCCGAAGAGGCTGAAGCTGAGGGACTGCAGGAGCCGGCAGAAGCTGGCGGACTACATCACCTACTGCAACGTGCTCTACACCTGCCTGCTGCCGTGCGAAGGAGAGCTGGGCGTGCAGGTCCCTCTGCCCCCTGGGCTGCCGGAGGCGATGAAGGGCGAGGACGTGAGGAGGCTCAACGAGTACGCGTTCAAGGTGTGGCGTCTGTGCCAGTCAATGCGGCCCCCGGAGGACATGGGGAGGCGGTCGCTGAGAGGCTGAGAGGGAGGGAGGGCATCTTGTTATGCGCCCGAGGAGGAGGTGAGCCTCCGAGGGCCTGGCCGTCAGTCCAAGGCAGAGGCGCTAGGTCTCCAGTGTCTCCGAGACGATCTTGCATTGACGCCTGTACGTGAACGACCTCTTGAAGCCTCTGCGTCGGCGTGTACGAGCATGTCTGTGCTGAGCGACACGTCAACGATCTCTCGGCTGAGAGCAAGCAAGTCCCCACCAGGCTGCCATGTCTAGGACAAAGCGAGCTAGACCGCGTCTTTGTGTGCTCCGAGGTCTCTGGAGAAGCGGAATGATCTGATCCCCTATGATAAAACAGTAAAGCAGCCTCTAGTATGAGACTACTTTGGGGTGCTGTTGGTCTCCGATCACAGCTAGCTGCTGCTGACGCACTTTGCGATGGAGCGTGGCACTTGCGCAGGACTGCTTCTGCAACTGCGCATGCTCTTACCGTCCGCTTATGGTCGCACACGGATGAGCTTTGCACCTGCAGTGGACCTAGACATGTAGACTTGAGATGAGCATAGGCTTTCGGCAGTTGCAGTTGATGCGCTGTTGCTGTCTGTTGCTGTACGCTTGCTCTTGCTTTCCGTGCCTCATCGGATGCTCCTGCCGTCTTGCTTCCTTTACTCCTCTCCCGGTTGCCCTCGTTTGCTCCTCCTGCTCCCGTCGAGCTTGTGCGAGTTTGTGGGTGGGCAACCACGAACTCCGATCCTAGTGACTACGGGGTAGGGGGAAGCAAGAGTCAAGAAGAGGGTAGGGTAGATGAAGCTGTACCCGTCCAGATATGATGGACATCATGGTTCAGAGAGGGTACTAGCCCTCAAGCGCGATCGAGCATAGGGGTACGGAGACCGAGAGGGGGTAGGGGGTAGAGGTAGGGGGTAGGGGGAGGGACTCGAAAGCCTACAAAAGGAGTCCAGGGTCCCTGCTGTTGACGCCGTCCCTGACATGCCTTATACAACACGCCCGAGCCAACAAGACAGACTGCCCGTGCAGACCGTCTCCATCATGCCTCCTCCTATGCTACGACCAGTAGCGATGCCCTGCCCCCCTGCCCCAGCACCCTCCGCAGCACCCTGCTGCCCTCCGCCGACCAGCTACTCCGACGCCCTTGCGACTTTGGATCGCTGCGCTGCGCTCGCCAGGCCGATATCTGACACCTCAGCAGCCGTGCTCGACATCACCGACCCCGCGAGCTTCAGAGACTTCCTTGCTGGCAGAGACGGGGATGCCGCGCCCGCCGCGCCCGCCGCCTACCCGGCCTTGATCGACACCAGGAAGCCTATCCTCAAGAAGCGCCCGCTTGTCGACGGCTACACTGCTCCCTCCGCAGACGCACCGGTCAAGAGGCAGCGAGGAGAGGGCGAGAGGGCGTTGGAGCGGAGGAGGAAGAAGATCGTGTGGAAGCTTGGGTCGCTGCTCAAGGTCTCCAAGAAGGTTTACAGCAGGGTCGACGACATCCGGCCCGTCTGCGTGTACTACCAGTGCATCTGGGACTGCGCCAAGAAGGTGTGCGACTCGGCTGGGATCCAGATGAGCCGCGAGCTTGAGCAGCTGGAGCCCAGGGCCTGCGAGGGCTATCGACAAGGGAATGCAGCCACGGCGGAGCAGCGAGCGGAGCTTCTCCGGCGAGTCGGGAGGGCGGCGGAGCTTGCGGCCAGCATCTCGAGCGAGCAGGAGAGGCCTGGGATCAGAGACAAGTTTATGATGTATGCATGGGACGCCATCTGCCCGAAGAGGCTGAAGCTGAGGGACTGCAGGAGCCGGCAGAAGCTGGCGGACTACATCACCTACTGCAACGTGCTCTACACCTGCCTGCTGCCGTGCGAAGGAGAGCTGGGCGTGCAGGTCCCTCTGCCCCCTGGGCTGCCGGAGGCGATGAAGGGCGAGGACGTGAGGAGGCTCAACGAGTACGCGTTCAAGGTGTGGCGTCTGTGCCAGTCAATGCGGCCCCCGGAGGACATGGGGAGGCGGTCGCTGAGAGGCTGAGAGGGAGGGAGGGCATCTTGTTATGCGCCCGAGGAGGAGGTGAGCCTCCGAGGGCCTGGCCGTCAGTCCAAGGCAGAGGCGCTAGGTCTCCAGTGTCTCCGAGACGATCTTGCATTGACGCCTGTACGTGAACGACCTCTTGAAGCCTCTGCGTCGGCGTGTACGAGCATGTCTGTGCCGAGCGACACGTCAACGATCTCTCGGCTGAGAGCAAGCAAGTCCCCACCAGGCTGCCATGTCTAGGACAAAGCGAGCTAGACCGCGTCTTTGTGTGCTCCGAGGTCTCTGGAGAAGCGGAATGATCTGATCCCCTATGATAAAACAGTAAAGCAGCCTCTAGTATGAGACTACTTTGGGGTGCTGTTGGTCTCCGATCACAGCTAGCTGCTGCTGACGCACTTTGCGATGGAGCGTTGCACTTGCGCAGGACTGCTTCTGCTTCTGCGCATGCTCTTACCGTCCGCTTATGGTCGCACACGGATGAGCTTTGCACCTGCAGTGGACCTAGACATGTAGACTTGAGATGAGCATAGGCTTTCGGCAGTTGCAGTTGATGCGCTGTTGCTGTCTGTTGCTGTACGCTTGCTCTTGCTTTCCGTGCCTCATCGGATGCTCCTGCCGTCTTGCTTCCTTTACTCCTCTCCCGGTTGCCCTCGTTTGCTCCTCCTGCTCCCGTCGAGCTTGTGCGAGTTTGTGGGTGGGCAACCACGAACTCCGATCCTAGTGACTACGGGGTAGGGGGAAGCAAGAGTCAAGAAGAGGGTAGGGTAGATGAAGCTGTACCCGTCCAGATATGATGGACATCATGGTTCAGAGAGGGTACTAGCCCTCGAGCGCGATCGAGCATAGGGGTACGGAGACCGAGAGGGGGTAGGGGGTAGAGGTAGGGGGTAGGGGGAGGGACTCGAAAGCCTACAAAAGGAGTCCAGGGTCCCTGCTGTTGACGCCGTCCCTGACATGCCTTATACAACACGCCCGAGCCAACAAGACAGACTGCCCGTGCAGACCGTCTCCATCATGCCTCCTCCTATGCTACGACAAGTAGCGATGCCCTGCCCCCCTGCCCCAGCACCCTCCGCAGCACCCTGCTGCCCTCCGCCGACCAGCTACTCCGACGCCCTTGCGACTTTGGATCGCTGCGCTGCGCTCGCCAGGCCGATATCTGACACCTCAGCAGCCGTGCTCGACATCACCGACCCCGCGAGCTTCAGAGACTTCCTTGCTGGCAGAGACGGGGATGCCGCGCCCGCCGCGCCCGCCGCCTACCCGGCCTTGATCGACACCAGGAAGCCTATCCTCAAGAAGCGCCCGCTTGTCGACGGCTACACTGCTCCCTCCGTAGACGCACCGGTCAAGAGGCAGCGAGGAGAGGGCGAGAGGGCGTTGGAGCGGAGGAGGAAGAAGATCGTGTGGAAGCTTGGGTCGCTGCTCAAGGTCTCCAAGAAGGTTCACAGCAGGGTCGACGACATCCGGCCCGTCTGCGTGTACTACCAGTGCATCTGGGACTGCGCCAAGAAGGTGTGCGACTCGGCTGGGATCCAGATGAGCCGCGAGCTTGAGCAGCTTGAGCCCAGGGCCTGCGAGGGCTATCGACAAGGGAATGCAGCCACGGCGGAGCAGCGAGCGGAGCTTCTCCGGCGAGTCGGGAGGGCGGCGGAGCTTGCGGCCAGCATCTCGAGCGAGCAGGAGAGGCCTGGGATCAGAGACAAGTTTATGATGTATGCATGGGACGCCATCTGCCCGAAGAGGCTGAAGCTGAGGGACTGCAGGAGCCGGCAGAAGCTGGCGGACTACATCACCTACTGCAACGTGCTCTACACCTGCCTGCTGCCGTGCGAAGGAGAGCTGGGCGTGCAGGTCCCTCTGCCCCCTGGGCTGCCGGAGGCGATGAAGGGCGAGGACGTGAGGAGGCTCAACGAGTACGCGTTCAAGGTGTGGCGTCTGTGCCAGTCCATGCGGCCCCGGCAGTGATAGTGATGTTTTTCGAGTTTTATCGTATGAAGTCAAGAAGGCTGAGATGGTTGTTTGCTACTAGGAGGCTCTCAATGTTCGCTCAGGAATCGGGTCAAACAGTATTGAATTCCTTTACTTTCGGAACTGAGTCTCTGGCACCTCACCTCTTTCGTCTTCCATACTGTGACGTGCCGGTCGTTCTTCCTTGTGTGCAGCCTCTTGATCCAGCGATTCATCGCATGCCATGCCATTGTTGTCTTTGGTCAATGACATGTCAGGCCTGTGTTGCAATCCAAGCTTGTGCGCCGGTCGTTCTTCCCTCCTTGCCTTCCTCAATTTAAATTGTCTCCATCGTTGTTCTTGCACCCGCGCATAATGTTCATACTCTGTTTCCATACTCCTCTTCTTGACTTGACGTATTCTATTGCTTGCTTTTCGTGCAGATTTTTGTTCCTCGTTTTCCAAGCTCCTCTTCTTCTGTTGCCTCAATCTATTCATTTCCCTCTTCCGTGCAGATCTTTCTTCCTCTCTGTCCAACTTTCCCTTGCCCTCCTCTCGCACTGTGAAGGCCATGGCCAGCAAAGCAGACTGGCGACCACAGCAGCTGGGCCCGCCTCGGAACCTGTACAGCGTGACACACAAATATTGTAGGCCATATACCCCTTCAAATTTCAATTGTTATTGTTTAGTTTCGATGTCACTGAAATCAAGTTGTGAAAACTTTCCGGGGGCCGGAGTCTGGCCGGGCGGGGATGAGGCCGGGTGGTATCAGTCATCATCGGCATCGAGTCTGCCGGCGAATGATGCCAGCCTGAGTCAGTGACTCGGGGCACCGTCGGCATGATGGTCTTTGCGGCCGCCCGGGCCGGGCGCGGACGCGACCGTGACTGAGCCGGGGCCCTGATGAGTTGTATCCGACAGTGCTGTAGCCGCAAGTAAGCGGCCGGAGAGGAACTTCCGAACTCCGAAGGACTCCGAGAGAGAAAAAGAAGAGGAAGGAAGAAGAGCACCATGGTCATGATCCCCGGCCGATGTGGCATGCAGTTACAGTACAGTCTCTCAGTTTCCGTGTCACATTCGCAGCCCGCCGACTTGGAAGCGGCTCTCGCTGTCCGAGGGCCACTCAGTGGCTCGACCGTGCTCAAAGTTCCGACCGTTCACAGAGTCACTGTCACAGCCTCCGGCTTGAAGTGACTCGTGACCCGGCAGTAATTGTTGTACCACATTTAGAGAGAAATCTACAGGTATGGTACAGAATTTACCAGGTATGGTACAGAATTTACAAATTTGTTTTTAATTTTGTATAAGTTTATAATAAATTTTCATTATTATTTCCCTCACAACTTAGATAGTGGTAACGATGATTGATCGATCGGTACAATATTTTCGTACACGATGAGTACGACAACCGCGTCTCCTACTAGCAGGTATATTACTATATGCAGGCGATCACGATGGCGGCTGCACGGCCCCCATGTGGCCACGGAACGTGGTGGAAGGATAGGAGAAGAAGGCAGGATAGCAAAGAGGAGGACGCTCAATAATCTGAGAGAGAGATCGGGTTGGGAGGATCGTGCATGAAGGTTGGAAGGACATAAGTGGTTGCGGAGCGATTGTGAAGGAAGGAGCCAGGGCGCGAGGTTTCTTCTCTGGACGATTGAGCTCAAGTTGCAGTCTTTCAGGAGCAACCATGAGGATCACGACTCGTAACATTGAGCTGCTGTTCCTGCTTTCCTTGTGGACGCTCGGGGATATCTCACCTTCACTAGCCGACGAGAAGATCGATGAAGAGCCCATCATGGCGCTCGACTACGGATCCGAGTGGATCAAGGTAGCCGTCTGGAATGGCAGAGATGCTGATGTGGTGCTGAACGAAAACAGCAAGCGAAAGAGCCTCGCAGCCCTCGCTATCCCAAAGAAGCGCGGTGTAGACGAGCTACGGCTGTTCGGAGAAGCTGCTACTGCTAGGCCACAGTTTGCCATCCAGTACGTGCGAGAGCTACTGGGGAAGTCGTACAGCAAGGAAAACAAGTTTGGCCCCCATTATTTCCCAGAGAATGTCAAGCTAGATCCGTCGAGAGGAGCCTGTAAAGTTGTGCAAGGAGGAGGAGAGGAATACAGTCCAGAGGTCCTGAACGCCATGCTGCTTACATACGTGAAGGGGAGGGTGCAGGAGCACACGGGGAGGGCCGTCGGCAAGTGCGTCATTGCTGTTCCTTCCTACTTCAGCGAGATACAGCGAAGAAGTTTGTTGGCCTCCGCTGACATCGCAGGATTAGAGGTGAGGAATGGAAGCCAAGCACCTGGCGATGTTGACGTTGCTGCCTCAGGTCACTCTGCTCCTCACTGAAGGCCTCGCGCTGGCGTTCAAGTATGGCATAGAGAGGATGAATCTCCTGTCTCTCCCGGCTCCGAGGAACGTGCTCTTCCTCGACGTGGGCGCGACGAAGACGACGGTAACCATTGCGAGATTCGTGGGGAAAAATTCTTCTCCTCCTTCTACATCGCCTTCTGCCTCACCTTCCAACGCGATGGTCGAGATCCTCTCTTCAGCATCTGACGCAAACTTTGGCGGGAGCTCCTTCACAGCTGGGCTCGTCAGTCTCCTAGTGAAGCGGGTGGATAAAACCAAGAAACTTGACGAGAGGGCGATGAAGCGGCTGCAGGGGGAGGCAAACAAAGCCAAGGAGATTCTGAGCGCCAACAAGGAGGTTGTGGTGACGGTTGAGGATCTTGTCGGCGACTTTGACCTTCGGGTGACCATCACGAGACAAGAGCTTGAGGAGGAGTGCCGGGACACGCTGGTAGCCCTCCCCATCCTTATCGACAAGGCGATCAGGGCTGCGGGGCTCAACCTGCAGCAGCTGCATGGCATCGAAGTGGTCGGAGGAGCCTGGCGCCCGCCCATGGTCCTCAAGGAGATTGAAAGAATCTTATCTGTGGTGCCCGGGAGGAGGATGAATCCTGACGAAAGCATCGCGACCGGCGCCGCCCTCGTGGCCTTCTACCGGGGGAAGCAGCAGGCGAAGATTCAGCTCCTCGACATCCTCCACAAAGATGTGTACGTCTGGGCCGGTCAAGATCTCCTCCAGCTGATTCCCAGCAGCTGGAAAGTGCCCGTGATTGACAAGGAGAGCGAGTCCCTGCTGACGCCAGAGGGAGGAAGCGACATCGTCCTACAAACCCCAGCACGAGGCGACCTGACGGTCTACCTCACCGACGATGCCTTCACCTCCAACCCCTTCGCCACCTTTCTCATCACCAGAGTGGCAGGAGGATCAGCAGGAGCAGGAGAGGCTGGGGGCGGCATGGTTGAGCTGCACTTTCACATCTCTGCTAGCGGGCTGCTGTCGATGAGCAGGGCGACGCTGCTGCCGTTGGGGGTGACGAGGACAGAGAAGGAGCCAGGAGCTCCTCCCCCCTTTCTTGACTTTGGTGCGATCAAAGAGATGCCATGGGCGAGAGAAAGAGAGAAGAACAACCTTCCTCTTCCCCCGCTGATGATGAGCAGCGGGGGACCCGTGGAGTTGGTTGTGTCGCATGCCATCGGAGGACGAGGTTTCCGCATGCTTTCTGCTGCAGAGATCTCGTTGGCAAAGGAGACGATCAAGGAGCTGGAAAGAAGAGAGGAGAAGGTGAGGAGGTGTATGAGGAGTGATGATGATGATGATGATGATGAGGAGGAGGAGGAGGAGGTGGAAGACGAAGAAGAGGGAGGGGGAGGGGAGTTGGGCGGGAAGGAGGATGGGATGGAGGAGGTTGTGGTGATGATGGGAAAGAGGAGGAGGGGAGTTTGCTTTCACTGACTTGCGAAAAGTTGCGGAAGAAGTCTGAAGTTCTCAACACGCTGGAAGCCAAGATGTACATGGTGAGAATAAACCTGTTAGGGCTGCAGAACTCTTGAACTCCCAAGATGTCTGTCTTCCTTCCTTCGTTGTTTGCTCTCAGACCTTGCCATGACTTGCAATGCCTCAGTGCCGTGAGAAGTTGTCGTCAGAGATTGCAGCATGTAAGTTGGTTCCTGTCGTCTCTTCTTGTCACCTGTCGCGTCGGCAGCAGCTCTCTCCGTCGCCGAGATGGCGCTGGTGCTCGAGCACGTCGACGAGATCGGTAGGAGCAGGCGATGGAAGTCAGAGAGCAGGGCAGGGGAAGAGGAGGGGAAGCGCGGTGGAAATCAGAGGGGAAGGTGGAATGGGAAGGGAAAGACAACCCTGCATCCAATTTCTTACCAAGTCGCAGAATCTTGGATGGAAGAGAAGAGCTCAAACGCAACATATGACCAGGTTGTCCGACGTCTACAGGTGAGTTCATGTTAGATGACGATGGTTACGCTTGTTATGATTGTGATGATGCTGATCCTGATGATTGCAGGATCTTGAAATCGTTATTTCTCCGCTCCTCGCGGCGATCAAGGTTTCTGTCTGTTTTGAGTAAGACGTCGAAAGTTGACGGCGCGACAGGACAAGGAACGACTGCTGGAGGCCCGTAGTGACGCCAAGTCCATGCTTGAGGTTCTATCTGAAGACATGACAGTGACGATGTTGAGGCGTGTGAACAAGTTTGTGACGATGTTGAGGCGTGTGAACAAGTTTGTGACGATGTTGAGGCGTGTGAACAAGTTTGTGACGATGTTGAGGCGTGTGAACAAGTTTGTGACGATGTTGTGGATGTTGAGCTCACTTCATCTTGTCGTTTTTGATTCTCTTCATGTCTCGGTGTAGAGATCCAAGAGCCAACTCGAAAGCCTCCTTGCAAGTCGCCCATGGCTGAAGCAGGTAGGGAGGAGGGGGACGAGAGGCTCCTGCTCTTGCTTGTGACGCCTCCCTCCTCTCCTCGTCTCGTACAGGTGAGGATGGTCGTTGCCTTTGCGGGCGCCACCGGCTTCCTCTTCCTCCTCCTCGAGCAGACCCACGTCATCCACATCTCCGGCCTCCACGAGCTCCGAGCTCGAGACTGAGAGCCCTCACGTCCTCTCCTTCCAGGGGGACGTCGACGCTGCTCGCTCCCTCCTGCTGAGGCTGCAGACATGGCTGGAGGCTGCGGAGAGAGGAGAGGCGACCGGCTGGGAGGAAGGGGAGGAGCTCACGGTGGAGCTGGGGAAGAAGATGAAGGTGAGGGCAGGGAGGGTGAAACAGCAGGCTGAACACCCCCAGGTGCTCGAGAAGGACGTCTCACCCTTTGACCTCCGAGGTTTGCTTCCTCCCACTTCTCTCTCTCCTCCCTTCCTCCACCTTCTGCCATTTACTTTCCCTCCTGCCGCTCCCCTCCCTCCTCTCTCCTGCTACTCTTCCCCATCCTCCCTCCTTTCTCTGTCTGTCAGTCTCTCGTCCCCATCCTCTTGATTCCTCTTCTCTCTCCACCATCCTCCCGCCCCTTCCCACACTTCCTCCTATCTTTTTCTCGTCCTTCCTCTCTCCCTCCTTCTCAATCCAGTTTCCTCCTCTTGTACTCCCACTCTCCTTCCTTTTTTTGTACCTTTCATCCCCCTCTATCTCCTGTCTTCCTTTCCTCGTTCCTCCGCTCTTCTTAGGAAGAAAGCCTGCCCCTCCTCGTCCTCGCCTGCCCCTCCTCCTGCTTCCTATCGCTCCCGAAGCTGGTTCCTCACCTTGATTCGCAGAGAAGAAGACCGACCGGCAGACCAAGAAGCCGTCGGAGGGTGACGCTGCTCCAGGTCTTCCCTCGTCCTCGTCCTCGTCCTCGTCCTCGTCCTCGTCCTCGTCCTCGTCCTCGTCCTCGTCCTCGTCCTCGTCCTCGTCCTCGTCCTCGTCCTCGTCCTCGTCCTCGTCCTCGTCCTCCTCCGCTGACGCTCTCGATGCCGCAGATGAGAGCGAGCCATCACCGTCAGAAGGAATATTCAAGAGATTCTTGAACAAGTTGCAGAAGTGAGAGCAGTAATGTAATGAAATCGGATGAGATTTGAGCGGAGGATGTTGGTCTGACTTTAATTCTTCACATTTGATCTTTTGTTTTTTTCCCTTCACGTCCCCTTCTTTCTCTTCTATGTCTACATCTTCACGCGCTCTTCAAAGAAACAGACTTGCTCGCCTTGTTCTTGTAGATGTCAAAGTGCTCCTGCAGCATGTGCACCATGTACAGGCACACGTGCGCGGGCACGAGGTAGGGCCAGCTGGACCTGAAGGCCTCCGCACGCATGAAACCGAGCATGGCGACGCACTGGGAGAGGATCATGGGGTGAGGGATCACGCCGTAGGGGAACTTCTGCACGTAGTGCTTGGAGGCCTGCCGACGTGTCAGCTCCTCCCGCATCCTCTTCTCCTCCTCTACCTTGACGAAGCCGAGCTCAATCCCGAAGTAAGTTCCATCAACACCGAGCTGAGGGGCAAGTCAGTGGCGAAGCTACCAGAATAGAGGAGAGGAGCAACCTGGAAGGTGGTGTAGATGGAGAGAGCATAGCCTCCGAAGATCATGGCGTAGTCGATGGGGCTAGTCCTGGAGAGGAGGAGGCATGTGAGCGAGAGAGCAGACAACAGGAGGAGAGGCTCACTTCAAGGCGAGCGAGAGGTCGGTGAAGTTGTTGGTGACGGCTGACGCATACAACAAGACGAGCTGGGAGATCGAGAGAGCCTTGAAGAGGAAGACGTCTCTCTGCACCACCATCCCACGTCACTGGCCCACAGGGCAACCAGTCAGAGGAGACCTTGAAGACTCCGTAGGCGACGCCCTCACGATGGTAGTAGGTGTTGATGTAGCGCAGGTAGTGGATGAAGCTGGCCTCACGGTGAGAAGGGATTTGCCTCCACCTTGATCCTCCTTCCTACCTTGTGCCCACCAGGAACACCTTGTAGGTGGTGAAAAAGGAGACGACAGCGAGGGCTGCGATGTATCCGATGTTGCTGCAAGCAAGTCAGACGCGCACCTTCCCCTATCCCTCTTCCTCACCAGTAGCCGACCTTCTCTTCGATCTGATGCACAACCTGCCCCAAGTTTCAGCCAAGACACCCCGAAATGATCCGCCACCTTCGTCCAGAAGACAACATTCCATGCCGCAAACCTGTTGAACAGTCCCTGAAGCTATCTCAGTCCTTCAGCCCGTGGCTGCAGATTCCTCCCAACCTTGGGGTTGATGGTGTAGAGGAAGAGGGAGCGGAACAACTTGTTGTAGCGGGTGGACAAGATTCCCATGAGCTTTCCGAAAGGCCAGGCCCACGAGGGATAGATGACGTGATGGACCTGGCAGGGTTGTCTCAGCTTCTTCTGACTCGTCCCTCAGCCGCTCAGAACCTTGAGCACGATACGGAAGTCCTTGTTGACAACACCATAGTTCTTTTCGATGTAGTGCACCTGATGGAAATATGTCAACCCCCATCCGTGCTGCGACATCTCCTCGACCTCTCTATGGAAGTCGAAGGCAAGAACATCTCCGTTCTGAGCAGCGAGCTCGGTTGGAACAAGAGGAAACTGCGAGCTTCAAGTCAACCGAAACATCTTCATGAGGATGGAAGAACCTTGGTGGTGATCTCCTCATTGGCATCAAGACCGATGATCATACGGAAGCAGGAGCTGCGAAGCAAGGAGGTGAGAAGAAGAAGCAGTGGAGTTTGAGGTGTTACCTGAAGGGGATGTAGTAGTATGGTCCATCGATATGTCTCGTGTAGAAGACCTGACGGTGCAAGTGACTCCCTTGCCTTTAGAGCTTCAGCCCACGGAACCTCATCAGAAGTATTCTTGACGGTATGAGGGGCGGACACGTACACCTCGTTCATCCCATCCAAAACCTCAACCTGCCCGTCTCGTCATGAGGCTGCATATGCAGAATGACGGAGTAGAACCTTCCAGTTGGATCCGAAGTGGTTCTTGTACAAGTTCGTGATGGTAGGGCACTAAGAATACGAAAAGTCAACGCAGGCGAAACAATTCTCGTTTGGCACGTTGGCAATCCTGTAGAATGCATCCTTGGGGGCCTTCTCCAAGCACTGCTCAGGGGGAGTATCGGGCTTGGGAGCCTGGCATTTCTTCAGCAAGACAAAAAACCGGCAGATGGACATCACCTGGTACCACCAGTGGGTAGAGGTTGAGGTGGAAGGACCCTTGGAAATGGCCCACGAGCGGATGGCAGCGAGGTCCTTGTGCAAAGTCAGTACAGCCGAGGTAAGTCATCCACAATGAAACCTTCAAGTCCTGAGCATCCTTGAGCTTGACGATCAGCACCCTCGACTTCTGGAACTGCCAGGGGAAGAGCAGAGCGCCGGAGGTGCTCAAGAAGTAAACGACAAAAGCCACCAAGCACGGGAGGGTGTGCACGATCTGCTCGAACTTGGCCTCACCACCAGTCCTATCAAGCATGTCAGAAGTCGTCACACCAGGCTCACTCGGTCACCATGCAGTCTGAGGAGGCATGGTGCTCTCGAACACGAGAGGAAGGAGGTAGTAGGTGTGCTCAGCGAGAAGCTCCAAGAAGTTGGAGTCCTGCTGGTAGCTGCTCTGGAAGGTCTGCTTGTGGTGTCAGTCAATCGACCGTGCAACGTGTCTCAAGAGCAGAGCAACCTTCTCGCCCGTGGCAAAATGAGCCAGATCTTGTCCGAAGTATCCAACGATGAACATGACCATGTGGGTCAGATAGCCAAGGCCAGACGACAGGGTTGAGCCCAAGGCGATTCCAGTTGACACCAAGGTGGTCAAGGCAAGAATGTGCATTGGAAGCTTGTCCATGATGGACACACAATACGCAAGGGCCAAGATCTTTGCGAGAAAGCTGGTTCCTGTCACCTTGTTGACAAGTGACAAGACACTGAGAACTGGAGGAGAGCTAACTTCAGTGTAGAATCCAAGCAATCAACAATTTACCTCCAAGAGGAGTAGTTATCATGTGCAGGAAGATGTTGAACTGATCCTGAAACACACAGACAGTCACTCCCCATGATGTCGTTTGCCCAGCATCTTCACCTGGTGATAATTACGAAACTTGGCAGACAGGTCGTTCCATCTCTCAGTATGAGACATTGTCTGTACTTGGGCAGTGCTTGCAAGCACGAATCCAACTCCAAGAAGAGCCAAAAAGGCCAAACCCGTCCACGACGACCGCATTCTATCAATCGTGAGGTCATACAAGGCAGAGAATCAAAAGAAATAAATCCAAGCGTGGAATCGAACACAATCAGAAAGCATCTGGTCACAACCAAGACATGAATTCCGCGTGGACCTTCACATGCATAATGGGACCATAATGATATTGTCTACAATAGTCATCTTCAATCTCTCCGAACTTCACTTTTTTAGCAACTCCTGCCCCCTTTCTAATCATGTTTTCATGGATACTCGTGCCATGCCGTATTTCATCAAGCTGTATCCTCGCGAGTTATGACTTGAACACGAGATAAAATCTTCTGTAATCATCTTCACTCTCGCTCCTGTTCTCATCTCTCTCTTTCGACTTTCCTCCACTTCGTTCTCTTCTGATCCCTTGCAAAAATCCCTCTGCATCCTTTGGACGTTCGCTTGTCCTACCCCTACCCCCCTTCTCATATCAGCCCGTCCACAAATTGCGGTACTACCCTACCCCACGTGGATGTCTCATGACCAATCTACCTCTACCCCTGATTGTAACTACCCACCACTGGTCTGATCCCGTATATTTTCCTCTAAAACTACCCGGTCTAAGATAGTCATTCCATGTGGACCCCTACCAGAGAATGATCTAGGCCTCCTGACTACCCCCATGTGACTACCCCCAGGGGTCTTTGCGGAGGAAGGACTGAAGGACTTGGCCAAAGAAATGGTTCCGTCAGGGGTATCATTAGTTGGAAAATCACACAAAATCACAACCAAAATTTGTAAAACTGAAAATCAACACTAAAATTCAGGTAATTTATTACAAATTTGGATGCCCTTACCGAAATTTGAGTACCCTTCCCTAATGGGATGCCCTGCAACGTGGCCATGTTTACGGTTTGGCCCATGATCGAAACTTTCATTATCAAATTTGAAATAATCATCTCAAACCAACCAAATTTGTGAACTACACCGCTTAATTTTGGGTAATGCCCTGAAAGCAGGAGGCTAGAGGACCCCCTCCGAGATATCAAGGCATCTCGTGCTCACAGGCTCACACAGTCGTACGCCTCTTCAATCCCCCGACCAGGTAGAGAGAATTTGTCCTACTTTTGTACACATAGTAAAGCATGTGACAATTTACAAAACTGTGGTAAGAATATGATTCTAAGATTTCATTTTTTCAGTGACACTTTCGAAAATTGTTTTGCACCGAGTCGGAGGATCGCAGTTTATGACCGTCGACGTGCTGCCGGGGCCTCCGAGTCACAGTTCCACGGCCCACTCCGGACTAGCGGCTGACGACTACGAGGCAGAGGAAACGAAGGGCCTAACTCTGATGACTGACACTTTAGTGTCATCCACGTGACACACTCAGGCAGATCGGATCGGACCGTGACTCACTGTGAGCCGGGCCGCCAGTCACGGTCGGATCGCCGCCCGGCCCGTCCCGGCGCCCGGGGGCCCAGCCGCCGCCGGGTCACCGGGTCGAACGGGGTGCCAGTCACCGTCGGGCCCGGGCCGGGCCCGGCGGCGGAACGGTGACTGGGCCGGCCGGCCGCCGCGCCGCGCCGCCCGGCGGCGGTGCTGCCCGGCCACAGACTGAGTCATGAGGACCGGCGCGGCCCCCGGACGGCGAGGAACCGGGAGCCGGGCCGCGGCTGCCTGCCCGGCCGGGCTGGGCACGGCGTGACTGACGGCGGGCCCGCCCGGCGGCCGGCCGGGCGGCCGGTCCCGGACATCTGACTGGCCCAGTGGGCGGCTCACTGCCGGTCAACGACTTCTCATTTGGTAACGGCGGTAACGGCATTACCAAGAGCCATGCGCTTGACGAAGCTGTTGTGGACGCAGGTATGAGTTGGAGGGGAGGAGGAGAAGAGAAAAGAGGAAGAAAGAAGCATGTGAAAGAGATATTATAAGAGAAGGAGACAGAAAGAGATAAGAGACAACAAACAAAAGAGATAGAAAGAGATAGGAGGTAGAGATCAATATGACAGTGTGAATGAGCGACAAGGGATAGGGATCGATAGAGCGTAGAGAGATAGATAGAAAGATGCAAGGGTAGAGATAGAAAGAGACAAAAGAAAGACATAGATAGATGCAAGAGCGATGTATTGAAACAAACAAAAGTGAAAGATACAACGAGTCTATGTCAGAGACAACACGCAAGGGCCATCGGGCTGCGATACACAGAGCACGGAGATTCACGGCCTGCAACTTGGAGGCAGGGAGGGAGGTACATGACAAGGTGACGGAATAGTGACAGTATACTGTTGTTTCCCTGTGGTATCACATCTTGAACGCATTAAAATACTTCAAGGCAGGAAGTGTTCAGCTAGAGAACCAGAAATAGACAATGTAGGAAGGCAGTTAGAAGGCAAGGGATCACGCAAGAAAGAACTTTGCAGTGCAGAGAGGGAGGTTTGTGCGCAAGTAAGGGGAGGGATGCAGACTGATAGAGGGCTGGAAAGAGAGTTGGCCAAGAGTGATGGAGAGGGAGCACGAGTTGGTGTACTTGTCTCTGTTCCACTTTCCAAGTGATGGCTGCGTGATTGAAGAGAATGGTTGAGACAAAAAAATTGAATCAAGTTTTTTGATGTTATCACTGATCAAACTTCTCCGTCACAGGACACCTGCAACTCCCTTCCCAACTTCGAAGCAACTTTCAACCCCATCGGCTCAGGCCTTGTCTACGATCCTACTAATCCTGAGCAGCCTGTCATGAAGCCCCTCGAGCCCATGTGAGCAAACAGCTCCTTCAATTCTCATATCTGAATTGTCGCTCGTAGGTGCAAGCTCTACCCTGACATGCAGTAAGTTCCTTGCCAGACCCTCATTGATACTGCAGACGCTCCTCGGACTGACTCCTTTCGGCAGGCCGTCAGGTGAGGCTGAAAGTGGATTGTGGGGGCCACCGGAGTAGAGCTGATTAACATGATGCCTTCATTGTTGTGAAGTAAATCTGATGGAGAGAAACTTGAGTCGGGGAAACATTGTTTATACCGACATACCACGACATACATTAGATATGACAAACTGCTGGCAGCATGCAATTCCGATCCTCCGCTCGGAGAGCGGAAAGTTCTCAGCAGGAGCTCACATGTCGTCCATGGGATGTCGTTCAGACTCCACACGTGATTGCTTCTCCTTGCGCAAGATCGATCGCAACTGGACGAAACCATCCTGCAGAGTCTCGAGGCGTATCCTGAGCTCCTCGTTGGACATCTGCTCTGCCTGCACTTGGGTCTGAAACTCTTGACGCAGACGCTGCTCGAGACCCATGAGGTGAACCTGCACGACGGTTAGAAAAGAAGAAGCCGGGCAGTAGCAGTATCACCTTCTCTTCTTGGATCTTCTGCACCTCGACCTTCATCTTGTCCATTCGTTCTTCAAACTCTCTCCTCATCTTCTCTACATCTTCTCTCATGTGCTCTTCCTTCTCCTGGAACTCTTGACGCAGGCGCACGTACTTGGCTACGCCGCATCGGCGAAGAGCTTCTGCCTGCATCCTTTCGAGCTCCTCGAGCTGGGAGACTGTGAGGCCGTCCAACTCTGAGCCGCAGAGCTGAGCAACGCGGACTTGAAGCATGTGAACGTCGACAGTTCGCTGCTTGAGGTCTCCTCGCGAGCGTTCGTACTTCTTCCTCAACTCCGCGATCTCCTCTTGTGCTGTGCTGAGCTTTGCCTTCAGCGCAGCATCCGCCTGTTGCTTCTCCTGCAGCCTCTCCAGCTGCTTTCGGAGATGGTTCCTCTCCTCCTGGCTCGCCTGAAGCCTCGTTTCGATTCTTGTCTGTTCAAGTTTCGACCGGTCAGTCAAGATTTCTATCTGCTTTCGCAGCTCAGCCACTTCCATCTGGCTCTCTCGCAGAGCTTGCTTCAGCTTGTAGTCTTCTTGGTCGTCGTCGTCGTCCCCCGTGACTCCTTTGCCTGTAGGCATCGCCCCCTTCGCTCCGGGGCGGGCACTCATTCTGCTTGCTGCCCTGGACTCTGTGTCCGCAATGCCGCTGTCTTCAGTTACTCCCGTGTTTGCAGTCTTCAATCGTGTATCGTCGTCCTCGTCCTCGTCCTTGCTCGTGGCGAATCCGATCCGTTGGTTCTTGCCAGTCGGCCTGTAAGGAGCTCCTACTCCTGCCCCCTGCGCGCTCTCACCGCTCCCCGAAGCAAGAGCCAGGGAATGGAAGCCGCCAGCGGAGACCTCGCGCACTCCCTTCCCGATTAGCTGCTCGATGAGGAAGGGAGTCGTCTGCATCTGTTCATCGTCGTGGCCCAGTCGTCCGTACTCGCCGCTTCCCCACGAGTAGACGTCCGAGTTGTCCACGAGAGCCATGGTATGATGCATGCCTGCAGAGACCCTGGTGACGCGCTTGCCTCGCAGAGCCTAAAGGAGGAAGATCAGACAAGGATCGACATGTCACAGGAGATCACCTCAACAACCACAGGGATATTCTGACTGTTCTCGTCGCCGTGTCCGAGTTGTCCTTTGTCTCCTCCACCCCAGGTGTACAAAACTCCTTCGCTCGTGAGAGCTGCCGAGTGAAAACCTCCCGTGGAGATGTGTATGACCCCAACGCCCTGAAGAGCTGTGATCATGATCGGTTCTGCATGCTTCTCCTCATCTCCGATGCCCAGCTTGCCGAACTCTCCACTCCCCCAAGTCCAGACCTCCTGACTCTGCGTCAACATCAACGTGTGATGAGTTCCGCACGCGACTTCATGAGCGATGCACTGCTGTACTCCCTTGACCATCTTGGGAGTCTTCCGGTCGGTCTCGTCGCCATGCCCCAACTGCCCGAAATAGCCTCCGCCCCACGTAAGAAGATTTCCTCCCTCAATGATCACAGAGGAATGGAAGCCACCAGCCGCCACAAAAGTCACCTCCTTGCCTTGAAGCGACTCCACAAGTTTCGGAGAAGCTTGCCGAACCTCATCACCATGACCAAGACGACCGTACTCACCACTTCCCCATGTGTAAAGCTGTCCATTGTCGATGAGCGCACAGGTATGGTGCCAGCCGCAAGCTACTTGCTTCACATGCTTGCCTTGAAGGGCACTAACGAGAGCAGGCGTAGAGACGTTGGCTGTGACTGATGCTCCCTGACCCAATTGTCCAAAGTTTCCTCTTCCGAAAGTGAAAACTTCTCCATTCTCCATAAGTATTGCTGTGTGCTGGTTTCCGCAAGATACTTGTCGTACATTGAAGCCAAGGAAGGCAACGACCAACCGGGGCTGTCGCTGCGTCTTCTCGTCGCCATGACCAAGCTGACCCAAAACTCCTTGACCCCATGAATACACCTCACTTCCCTCTCGACTCATGGTCGTTAATTACTCTCAGTACTCGTGCACTGTCTTCTGAGTCAAGCAATTATTTCAGTTTCCCAAACATAGCAAACCAAACTCCCTAATTCCTGCTAACACCAAGCGTCAGAAATCATCCAGGGGTTTGTTGGAGGATATCAGAACGAAGCAAAGGGGGGATAGAACAGAGGGATGCAGGGAATTTCAAGTGAGTTGCAAACATTTCCTAATGGCGTGTGCATGAGATGCACCATCATGGAATAGATCGAATGCAGAGCAAAAGACAATCGGTCAAAGGAATGAGAA